CACCACGTTCAGGTAAATATTGCGCAATATTAGAAACGGGAATTCCCGTGAAATCAGGGTGAGGAGGAAAATAGGAGAGAAAAAACAAGATAACTTATTGAGTTTTGTTTTGAAGTAAGCTTGTGGTGTACAGGTAGTCCTCGACTTACAACAGTTCATTTAGTGCAGGGGTAAGGCAACCTCGGCTCTTTTATGACTCATGGACTTCAACTCCCAGAATTCCTGAATCAGCCATGCTGAGGGGAAAGGGAGAGGTTTCTAAGCTGAGCCATGCTGGCTCAGGAATTCTGGGAGTTGAAGTCCATGAGTCATAAAAGAGCCGAGGTTGCCTACCCCTGATTTTAGTGACTATTCAGAGTTACAACGGCACTGAAAAAAAGTGACTTAGGACCATTTTTCACACTTACGACCTTTGCAGCCATCCCCACGGTCACGTGATGCGCATTCGGATGCTTGACCTCTGACTCACATTTATGACGGTCGCAGCGTCCCGGGGTCCTGTCATCCCCTTTTGTGACCTTCTGACAAGCAAAGTCAATGGGGAAAGTCAACAGATTCGCTTCACAACCAGGCTACTAATTGAAGAACTGCAGCGATCCACTTAACCAGCGTGGCAAGAAAAATCGTAAAATGGGGCAAAGCTCACTTAACACATGTCTCACTCAACGACATAAATGTGGGCCTCCGTTGTGGTCGTAAGCAGAAGGACCACCTGTAGCTTTAATCAAAATCGTTACACAGTCAACCTTTGACTGTCTGGACAGAGATTGCCTCAAATGTTTTACGGATAGGAAAAGAAAATCGCAAACTTTGCACGTGACTCAAGGAATAATTCTGCGGGGGAAAAGGAAGAAGAGTGGTGCTTTAATGTTAATATTCTGCATTCTGTAGGAGAGAAAAAAAGAGCCAGTTTGGTGTAGTGGTGTAATATAACGGTTCAGGTACCAGGCTAAAAACCAGAAGACTTTGAGTTCTGTTTGTGCTTAAGGCATAAAGCCAGCTGGGTGATCTTGGGCCAGCCTCTCTTTCTCTCCCAACGAAGCTCCCTAAGAAGGAGGCAAACCACTTCTGAAATCTTGCCAAGAAAACTGCAGGGACTTGTCCAGACAGTTGCCAGGAATCACAAAGTGACTAAAATGGCTTCAGATCCCTCTTCTTTGTGGTATCTCAGGGGCTGCCACAAAGAAGAGGGAGTCAAGCTATTCTCCAAAGTGCCTGAAGGCAGGACAAGAAGCAACAGATGGAAACTAATCAAGGAGAGAAGCAACCTAGAACTAAGGAGAAACTTCCTGACAGTGAGAACAATTAACCAGTGGAACAACCTGCCTCCAGAAGTTGTGATTGCTCCAACACTGGAAGTTTTTAAGAAGAGACTGGACAGCCATTTGTCCAAAATGGTATAGGGTTTCCTGCCTGAGCAGGGGGTTGGACTAGATGACCTCCAAGGTCCCTTCCAACATCATCATCATCATCATCATCATCATCATCATCATCATCATTATTATTATTATTATTATTATGACTCACACACACTTTGGGAGAAAAGACAAGCCTATTTCAGCCCATGTTTTATCTGGAACTTTTATCTGCAACCGTTTTATCTGGAACTTTTCCTAGATCCCTTGTGTCCTTTTCACCATCCCAATTTTCTTTTTTTTAAAAAAAGAAGAGAATTAATCTTTCTTCTCCCCTAAAGCTTGATGAAGGTTAAAATATATATGTTGCTATTTCTGGTAACTCTTAATGGACTTTTGCTGATTAACGTTGAATGATGAGGCTTTATAATTTGTTTATAGATAAGAGATGAGATATGAGAAGAAAAGTTTTTGTCAAAATGTCAGACAAGGTGATAAGTTACTGGAACTGTACTTGTCTTGATGAAGTGGGGAGGTCCCTTCTTTATGGGGGGCGTTCTTTTTTTCTGCACTTTTTGAAATTTCTTTTAACTTTTTATATTTTTCTTAGCTTGTTTTAGTTTTTTTAATCTTTGTATTGTTAAGCTTTAATAAGATTGTTATGAAATCTTGCCGAGATAACTGCAGGGATTTGTTGTGAGGAGGAAGGAAGGAAGGAAGGAAGGAAGGAAGGAAGGAAGGAAGGAAGGAAGGAAGGAAGGAAGGAAGGAAGGAAGGAAGGAAGGAAGGAAGGAAAGGAAAGGAAAGGAAAGGAAAGGAAAGGAAAGGAAAGGAAAGGAAAGGAAAGGAGGAAAGGAAAGTATAGGAAAGGAAAGAAGGAAGGAAGGAGAAAGGAAAGGAAAGGAAAGAGGAAGGAAGGAAGGAAGGAAAGAAGAGGAAAGGAAAGAGAAAGGAAGGAAGGAAGGAAGGAAGGAAAGAAGGAGAAAGGAAAGGAAAGGAAAGGAAAAGGAGGAAGGAGAAAGGAAAGGAAAGGAACGAAGAAAGGAGAAAGGAAAGGAAAAGAAGGAGGAAGGAAGGGGAAAGGAAAAGAAAGGAAAGGAAAGAAAAGAAAGGAAGGAAGGAAGGAAGGAAGGAAGGAAGGAAGGAAGGAAGGAAGGAAGGAAGGAAGGAAGGAAGGAAGGAAGGGGAATGTTCGTTTTAGAATCAGGCTTACCAACCTTATGTTTTGTAGTTATTTATCTTAAGACATAATCAACCAGTTTTCTTTCCCCAGTCTGGGAAGATTTTAATTAGAGCCCCGATTACAATCACTCCAACATATGAACTAGTCAGACTGATTTATTGACTAAATGCTAAATGGTTTCTTTCTCAGAGTTTTTTTTCCCCCTTTCCTTTTCTCCTACCAGATCTGACTACCTTCCCTACGATATAACATATCGACCCCTTCGTGTACAAGAGGAATACAGGCCCATTGCTGGAGAAATTGACCTGGCCACCACGTACAGAAGGGATTTCAACCCTCACAAAATAGAGCCAGTAATATTAGTAAGACCTGCAGAAAAGAAATACCTTTCTAAATGCAAACTGAATGCCATTCCAACCTACCAAGGTAATAGTGCCAATTACTTTTACCAATGGGAATTTTTTTTTGGCCAAGGATGATGCATGAGGTGTCAAATTGCTGCTTTGGAGAGACAGACACTGACTTGGTTGTTGCAATGCCATGCTGATAATTTCCCTATAACTGAACGATGTCTAATCAGCAGTGGACACGCTTAATATGTCCTCTTAATAATAATAATAATAATAATAAAGTTGGAAGGGACCTTGGAGGTCATCTAGTCCAACCCCCTGCTCAGGCAGGAAACCCTACACCATTTCGGACAGGTGGCTGTCCAGTCTCTTCTTAGAAACTTCCAGTGTTGGAGCATTCACCACTTCCGGAGGCAGGTTGTTCCACTGGTTAATTGTTCTCACTGTCAGGAAGTTTCTCCTTAGTTCTAGGTTGCTTCTTATTGAGAGCACATGGAAATTTAAGGTCTAATTTGGGCTCTGAGACCAAAACCTAGTTTAGTTGTTTTCATGTAACCACCAGAGAACTATACTGCTGATAAACTGAAGCCTGTTCCATCAAACATGCTTCCCAAAGCGTGTTTGATGGAACACGCTTTGGGAAGCATGTTCATCAGCCACTACTGTGATTTTAGGGGGCTTCCTGATGATCTTCCAAAAAGCTTCAAGCGTGAAACTACCAAAATAGAAACAAATTTTGATGGAATCACAGAATTCTTGAGATCGCTTCCAGCCGTGGGCGGTTTCCTTACCTGAGCTTCATAAAGGAAGTACCCTATAAGGAGCTAACATGATTTAAGCCGATCTGATAAACATGTCCTCTTAATAAATGCTAGGACCTAGTTAAGCATATTTTACGGGATCTAGACATGTCAGGACAACCCCCACTCAGCATTTGCACAATATTGTAATTCTCAGAATTTCTTATGCAAAGTCCTTTAAGGTCAAGTGACATATTGTCGATGCCTTATTCATATGTTCTCCTACTAAAGTCAAGTAGGGCGGAAGTAATCAAATATGTCTCTGTAAGTTCTGGCAAAACCAATGATTTTGGCACATGCTCCATTCACCTTTTGTAAGCTCGTCCCTGGCCTACTCTTAGATGAGGCGCGTGGGAAGACTATAGCAACCTCTTGTCACGAATGTAACAATTCCGTTCTTTTTATCTTAAAGCTGATTTTAAACCCTGGGAAATAGAAAAAAGGGCACCCTGTAAAGTGGAGCGCCGCTATCAGCCTCCCACCGAAAAGTTTGGAAACGCCACTACCTCTCAGGATGCTTTTATTCCACGGGAACTGGCCCTCCGGAAGATCATTAAACCTGCTGACGCCACCACGCTTTCAGACCAGCCTTTTGTCGGTGACACAAGTCATCGGCGCGATTATGTCCCTCATCAGCTGGAACCCAAGTGGAACAAGTCAAAAGAAGCATACCGGCCCAGTAGTCAGCCTTTTGAAAATATCACCACCCACCAGAGTGACTTCAGAGGGCTTCCTGGCGATCTTCCCAAAAGCTTCAGGCCCGAGGTTGCCAAAATGGAAACCAAATCCGATTTTGAGGGCATCACAGAATTCCGCGATCGCTTTCAGCCGTGGGCAGTTTCCTTACCCGAGCTTCGTAAAGCGAAGGAGTACGCTCCCCCTACAGGCAGCATGGAGCTGAATTCCACATCCCGCCTGGATTATCCTCCTCACATCGTCAGTCCAGTGGTCCTCATGAAACCGCTGGAAAGGAGCAAAATAAGCGGCTTTCCCTTCCAAGGAAACACAACGATGAGAGATTCCTTTCAGGCTTGGGAACTCCACCCACCAGAAATGATTAAAAAGCCCCAGGAAATACCAAAGCCCACAGGTAAATTTGAAGATCTCACCACCTTCCGATCTCACTATACGCCACACAGTCTAATCCCAACCCAGAGTTGCAAACCTCCAACGGTAGCTTTGTCCAGTTCGGCACATTTTGAGGATGAAACCATATATCATAGGGACTATACCCCAAAGAAAAAAGAGATCTGTCCAGCCAATTACCCGTCTCCTCCAGGATATGCCTACGTCAGCACCGATTCGCGCGGTCACAAATTCTTCCGCAAGGTGACCCCGGAAGTCAGTAAGGTGGTCCATCCAAATGGCAACCATGTTCCAAAAGAAATAGCCGTTGCATCGTAATCTCTCATGGTTTGCTCTGCCCAGGGCTGAACAAATATCATGCCTTAGGCAGATTAATACGGTTGCTCTAACCATTAAAATAAGCACAGTGATTACAATGATTTGGGAAAGGTGAAAATTGAAGTGTTTGTAAGAATGGTGATGGAAACTGAATCAGTATTTCTATGGGAAAAAATTTTTCTTCTTCAGTTGTTTGTTAAAATAATTTAGTCCTTAATGAAAATGTCTCGCTTGGCAATAACTTGACAATTTAATACACAGTCAGCACTTCTACTATGTACTGTATAGTATGATTTGAAGGTAATCTGTCTGTAGCTACCTTTTTTTTTTTGCCAATCTATTTTCTCAAGTTAGATCCAGGAAGGAATCATTAGTTACACCTATAGTTTTTCCAGGTTAATTTCTGGCATGTTATCTTCAGTAATGTCTGGTCACAGAAGTAGACTAGAGTTGACTGATTACTGGCTAGAGAGATCAACAGGAGCCAATGATTATGTTTACAAATAAGCCTATACTACCTTGAACCAAAAATATTATAACAGCATGTTGAGTGATCTCTGAACTAGCTTGCTTTTTTTTTTTTTTTTTACTTTACGGGGCTTATTGGATGATAAGTGACACTTAACTGGTCACTGATCTGCATTATCAGCATATCTGTACTTGCCTGAAATATGGGGCAAACCTCAACATTCTGGCATCCTGTCCTATCAACACAACTTTTGGGGTTGGAACAAAAGGCAGAGTCTTAGTCTCACTGCTCGATGTCCCTTGAAGCATCTTCTTTGAAGCAAATTCAGTTGAGCTAACTACCCTGGAAAGATTTATAGGATCGCAAGTATGCATATGGCCTCAGCCTCACTAGACAGATGGAGAAAAAATTCGATTCAGTTTCAATTTGATTCAATTTCTTATTGAAAAAAAGAGAGAGCAAGATAACATTGTAGAATGATAAATCAGCCTTTCAGATCGTTATTTCAGCCGGACATGTTTTTTTTTATTAATGAAGTCCTGATTTGATTAGTCCTAAACTGATGAAATTTGTTCCAGTGAGTGTTTCTGTTTCAATGTGATAGATTGAATTTTGAGTTATTTTGTACTCGTTAATTTAAGGAAATGGTTTTATAATTGAAGCACCATGTAATCCTTCTGCTCAAGTTATCCAAGTCAGAGACTGAGACTGATAAATAGTGTCAAAAGAGCGAAAATAAATCATCCCAAAAAGGGCAGGAAACCATCTGAATGTCTGGGAATGTTTGCTTTGTGTCACTCACACAGATACAGACTGAGATTAGCATCCATTTATTTTATAACTTGTCTTATGTAAATGTATTGCTCTAAAAATCTAATTAAACACTGTTGTGTCACATTATGTTTTCCGTTTCTTAAAATACTTTTAAAGATTGTAGCTAGACTAAGGGTGTAGAATCCCATTTGCTCTGAAATGGTAATATAGATACAGATAAATTTCTGAACGCTATGGAATGAACTTTTTTTGAAATGTAGTCATAAGGTAATCCTCGACTTGCAACAATTCATATTTAATGACCGTTCAAAGTTACAACAGCATTGAAAACAATGAATAGAATAGAATAGAACAGAATAGAATAGAATAGAATAGAATAGAATAGAATAGAATAGAATAGAATAGAATAGAGCTGGAAGGGACCTTGGAGGTCTTCTAGTCCAGCCCCCTGCTCAAGCAGGAGAACCTACACCGTCTCAGACCAGTGAATGTCTAGTCTCTTCTTAAAAATCTCTAGTGATGGAGCGCTCACGATTTCTGGTGGGAAGCTGTTCCACTGGTTGATTGTCCTCACTGTGACTCGTGATCATTTTTCACACTTATGACTGTTGCAGCATCCCTATGGTCATGTGAACAAAATTCAGACACTTGGCAACTGGCTTGTACTTAGGACGGTGGCAGCTTCCTGGTGTCCTGTGATCAGCCTTTGTGACCTTTGGACGAGCAAAGACAATGGGGAACCCAATTTCATTTTACATCCGTGTTACTAGCAAGGATTGTCATAAAAGGGGGGGGGGCAAAACTCACTCTTGCTTAACAACAGAAACTTTGGGTTCAGTTGAGGACGTAAGTCAAAGGCCTGATCATCATTTAAAGCCCACAGCATCACATGAGTATTTACAGGTCCAAAATGGTTTAGTGTATTAAATGCTAGCAGCTAATTATTTTCAAATAATTAAACACAAAAGAAAGCAATGGTAAGTTTTAGTAATAAGAAAAAATAGGATCCAAAATCTTTATTACACACTATACAAAAATATTGCACTTTTAAACCAGATAATAAATATATACAAAAGTATTTACAGGTTATCTTAACTTAAAGAAGGGGTGTAATCAAAAAGCCAAGGATTGCTTTAAAATGTAAGGCCCTGATAACAGCAAAAGTTTAAAGTCCACTGAATTCAGTGAGAAAGAATCAAAGGTTCTGATTCTGCTTTCCATGTTAGCACTAAATGACTCTGGAAAGAAGCACTTGTATTCATGCAAAATCAAATGCTAAAAGTTTTCCCTACTACAACCTTTAATTTTGCAAATAGGCCTTTATTTCTCAGTAGGTATTCCTTATCCTAGAATACTGAGAAGTCGGACTCAGCCTGAGTTTTCCCAGACATCATCTTTTTGAGCTTCCGTGGAGTTCTTTCTACCTCCATGGGGAACATTCAAACATGTAATTTCACTTGGCTATGAAAAGAAAAAAACATCCCTTGATTTTACTGCAATCGACCAAGTTGCTCGACTTCAGTTTGACTATTTTGGGTCATCAGCCAAGAGTACTGTTTCTTCATTCAGCACCTTTTATACGGTAGCAGTAGTTTAGCTGTTAGTAAGGCTAAACCACGATTTGGTTCTCTTTGGAAATATATTTGGGACAGAAACCCAAAATTCAGGCGTTAACTTTTCTGTCCTTCGTCAAGAGGGTTCAGTTCAGGAAAAAGCAACTTTTGAAGTTTATGCAAGAACTCAGGAGTTACAAATGAAAAACAAAACAAAAACAAAACCAAAAGATAAGAATGGTATATAGAATATCCTTGACTCAATGGATAAGGCCAAAGTTTCAGGTAGTCTTGCATAGTTTCTAAAAACAGTAGTCAAATAAACCTGGAAAAAAATTACAAGCAGGGCGTGAAGATAAAGCACACCTGTTTTGCTTGCCTGTGATATCGTCTGAAAACGACATTTCCACACTGCTTTGAGAGCTAGTAGCCATTGATAGACAATGGACTCCAATAATCTTAAGAGCCGTACGTGCTTTGTAAGTAGAAGATTCCAGGTTCGGCCCCAGCATCTCCAGATAAAGCTAGAAAAACTCCCAATTTAAAAATCTGAAATGCTGCCACCAATGAGACAGATCAATGACTTGCTAGAAGGCAGCTTCCTAACTAATTATGGTTTCATCCATGTTTCTATTGCTTTCCAGTCAAGAAGATAGCTTACCCCAGCCATCCAAGGCCTTCTGAGTTAGTCAAGTTAATGGCTTTCACCTTATTTTGAGACGTAACAAGCATGTATAGCATATATTTTGGTCTATGCTAAGCTCTTTGTCAATTAACTTCACTGGTTTCTCTTATGACAACTGAACGTTTGGTTCAATCCACTTTGTTCCATTTTCACCAAGCGCAAATTATGTTCTTTTTTCTGTTATTCTAAAGAACTTTAGGAGTCATATAAGAAACATTTCAAACCATTTCAGTTGCTCGTTTCTCTAGCTTTTTCAACACCCGGCCAGAATTGTATGGAGCCACATTCATTTATGTTCCTCATAATGTATGTTATCTGACAGTTAAAACTGAGATTTTTTTATTATTTTTTGCCAAATCTGCATAGGAGCAAAATGCTGTTTGAAGTATTTGACTCGCAGGGCATATTCCCAAATGCATAATGATCAAAACGGATGAAGATCAACTGAACTGACCCTGAACATACCTGTGTCTCAAAGTATAAAAGATCTGGGTTTTTCACCCTCTTTCAAATGTAAAATGTAAAAATGCAAAATGTAAAATAAACAGAATTTCTTCAGAAGCAGCGTAGACTTTTGGCTGGGGATCTGCTCTGAGTTCTCTTCTGACAAAAACAAAACAAAACGAAACAATTCTCAAACTTCAAATTCAAATGGAAACATTTAAATTCTGAGCTCCAGTGTCGAAACCTCAAATCCAATTTCATACCAGGCTAATGACGGTCCCTGCCTTGATCAGATTCCAGAGAGATTGAAAGATGTGATCTGTCTTCCTAAAATTACACTGCATTAATCAAAAACAATTCCATGGCAAGTTTGCAAATTGTAACATCATGTAGATCACTTTTTACTGAAAATACTTAAAAGGAATGAACTTGTGATTCATCTGAAGCTAAAGAAACGAAGTCTCAGACAATGTGGTTTTGCCCAAAAAATGAAGTAGAAACAATGGTAGAGGAAAAAAAACCACTATTCTTTCTATACTTTCTGAAAATTGTCTTAAAGTGGATTAAATCAAGGTGACAAGCAAAGCAGTCTGACTGCTGATTCCAGTATATTTTAAATTCACTAATCTTCAGTTGTATTTGTACCGTCAGTAGCATTAGTTAAATCCAATAAATTCCCATTGTCTCATCGTAGAAGTTGTTCTGCAAGGCTGCAGGCTGGCTTTCTCGTTCACAAGGGCTGCAAAGTCAGTGTTGCAATTTCATCGCATCTGAAGGACACCAGATTAGGAAAGGTGCTTTCAAGTAGTATACTCAGCGGACCCATAATGATTTCTTTTTTAAAAAAGAAAAAAGAAAACAACCTTTGAAGTTATTGTAAAAGGTATAAAAGGGAGCACAGGAGGAATCAGGAAGAGAAAACATTTTGTCCCAATCTATGAATTCATACGGTCAATTCAGCAAGCCCATGTCTTGACTGTTGATAGTCTTTGATGTCCTACAGAACAAACCAAGCTAAATGAAAACTCTCCCACCGATGGGGCACCATTTATCACTTCCCATAAAAGACTAACCTTCTCCACATGTTTGACAGCACTTGTAGAGGTCTACTAAGGATAATTTTAGATGCTTTACAAATGTGCAGTAGTGTGTGGTATCCTTACAGTCGCCTTCTGAAAAATATATGGAAATGTGACAAAAAGGAAAAATCGTGTCATCACAATAGATGGCTCTTGGATGCTGAAGTCCTAAGACCGATATCTCCTGTCTGGCGAACACAGGTGTAAGACCGAAATAAAACGTCAACATCCCCTCTCTCTTTTTGCTTTGCGTGTATTTTTTCAAAGCTACTGTGGATTTAATGTGTAGATTTCCTGGAGGCTCACTCACTCACAAGAACCATTAATGGTTATTGATCCAGTCCGTAGCATAATTTGGAGCTAACTTGGGGGTTCTTTGGCTGTTTCCCCCTTTACTGCTGACTGAACTGGGGCAAAGTCACTCAGGCACCGTTGAGCAGGACATGGATTGATCAAGTTCCTTCTGCAGCTAAAGTTCAGCCACACACCAGGTTCTAAACGCAATTTGCCACAAGCAACTGGCAAGGTGAGAAATGGATGTACAGTACTTTTACATACTGTCACAAGAAGTGACGTTGCAGTGTTTCCAGGTAGTGGGTCTCTTCTTCCATGCACAGAACTGATCTGCCACCAATCTCTTCTTTTTCCTGTGTGCACAGCTGACCTGTCGTGACTGGAAGCCACTTCCGCAGTCTACAGGGCACGGACGCCAGGGACCTGTTCGCCAATACACATCACAACTTTCTGAAGAACAGTTCCTTCTCATGGAAGGCCTGCAGAAGGGGAAAAGGAAGGGGGGGGGGAAGGAAAGCTGCAGTTTGATTTAATCCAGGAGATGATATTTCTCCCCCTCCTGATCCTTGTTGCAACGTAAGGTTTATCCACTCCCAGTATTGCAGTATCAATAAAAGATCCTTGTTGCAACATAAGGCTTATCCATTCCCAGTATCGCAGTCTCAATCAATGGAGAATCTCCCTTTTTAAGAGCTAAACTTAAACCAATCCAAAGCCAACTTCTTTCATCTCTCCAATTCTCTGCAGTTTTTGTTCCTGATAATAATTCTATTTAGTCCCTACTATTCTTCAGCATGTGATAAGCGTTTTTTTTTTTAAATCTCCTTTCTATTTTCTACCATACGTTGGTTGAATTCAGATTGTGCTAAATCGGTAAACCTCACACTTTAAGCAATCATCTGGGAATCCCAAAGGTGCTTTTCCAAAAGGCAGCTAGAGTTTCTTGGGGTTTTTTTCCCTGAAAACATTTTGCGTTTCATCCAAGAAGCTTCTTCAATTCTGAAGGAGACCAAGAAAACCAAAAAAGTCCAACTGCTTTTTGGAAAAGCAACTTTGGAACAACCAAGACCTGGATGGTTGAGAATCTCCATAATCATCTAGGAAGTTTCGGTAGAGTGCTCTTTCCAATAATCCACCCTTATCTCCAAACTTTTTTTTTTTTTGGCCAAATCTCAAACTGGTGTGGAAATGGGGTGCATAAACTTGTAAAAATGAGAAACCAAGGGGAATGGAGATAGAGGCATTCCTAAAAAGTATCTAGTCATATTTTTGGGATCTAGAATTGCAGCCAAATGCCCAGATGACAAAACACATATCAGAGGTATTCTGACTAAGTAGGACAAACAGTTTCTAGGCGTAGTTTGCTGTGTCCCATAGAAACATTTGCAAATTCTTTGCTTTTCCACTGGTAACATTCCTCCACAAAGAGAAAGAAAGGGAGGTAAGTTCACACTGAAGTTATGAGTTTTATTCCACTGATTTAGGAGCTGGAAAGTGATAAAAGTATAGCATTTAGTAGCCTAATGTGACTGCTGGGGAGGAGAAATATGTGGTGTTCGCTGACTCGTTTCTTCCCAGTAGGATCTAGTGAAAGAATGTCGTGACATCTGCTAAGAGGAAAAAATGTGTTACGTGTCTTGTGCTTGACAGACATACCTCTTCGTACTGTCACAGAGTGAATTCAGTACTGCTGATCCATTCTGATGCTGACACTGAATGCGACGGTGTTGTAAGCCCACTCCGAGATTTATGCAACGTCCAGTGCACTGAGGAGATAGATAGCAGACAGCTTTCATTAGAAGATGAAGCTTTGCATTCTCCCATGCAAAATGCAGATTATTTGAACTCAGAGTGATAGCAGGCTTCCTGTCCCCATGAATACAGGCCAAGAAGCCATCATATTAATCTAATTCCTCCTTATGGTGTATTTTTAGATAGTAAACATGGCCCCACCGATTTATACCTCTAGGAGTTTTGACAGTGTAAAGGTACTCAGCCAGAGAGCCAATAGTCAATAGGGTTTGAATTCAATCCATCTACCTAGGCTGGACCTCTTGAGCAGAAGAAGCAAATAAGAGTGTATTCTTTTCTACTTGATCTTTAGCCTAACATGGACTTTCTGAGCTTTAAGGTATATTTCTCTAAATTAGTCCCGAGACTTGACCTTGCTTGTTCTTGGAACTTAGAACTAAAGAACTAAAGGCTTATTTTGTGGTCCAGAATACCAGTTTCAGCCTTCATGGAGCAGATGAATGTTGAGCAAGAGTCTATATTCATGAACTCCATTGAGTTTAAGATACAAAATAAATGAAATGTAATCTCAGATACTTTCACCAGATGTATGGACAGCAGTTTTAGTCAATGGAATACTGGGAGTGGCTTTAGATACAACGTGTCCGGGTGTCATATGTTATTCCTAAAAACAAACGTACTATAAAAATGATCAAGATGTTCTCCAACCTCTATCGCTTTGTTGTGATGATAACATACAACCCCGCACCTCTCAGTAGAAAAGGTAGAAACTAGAGAAGCGTGCATAGTTATTAGGCAATTTTGATACACCCAACTGGGCCTTGTGCATAGCCAGTGACAGAGATTATAGATCCATTAATCACTGAATTAATTACTTGGCCCCAGGGATGAACAATCCATTCGGCACAAAAGTGGCCCACACAAGGTTTCATTTCCAAAGGACGCTCTTGGTCTGCACAAGCATCCGGAGGCAATGTTAGGACACGGCGGTTGGCTTTGACTTGCTTGCAGGCTATTCGCCGGCGGTGAAATCCATGGCCGCAGGAAGTAGAGCATTCAGACCAAGCTGTTGTTGCCCAACTGAAAGGAGAAAATGCAAGAAGAAGAAGGAGAAGGAGAAGGAGAAGGAGAAGGAGAAGGAGAAGGAGAAGGAGAAGGAGAAGGAGAAGGAGAAGAAGAAGAAGAAGAAGAAGAAAGAAGAAGAAGAAGAAGAAGAAGAAGAAGAAGAAGAAGAAGAAGAAGAAGAAGAAGAAGAAGAAGAAGAAGAAGAAGAAGAAGAAGAAGAAGAAGAAGAAGAAGAAGAAGAATAAAATAAATAATTAACCGTAAAAGTAAAGGAAGTGCATCGTATCAAGAAGGATACAAATTAGAAATTGTGACTTGGGCTATAGGGATAGTTAAGCTAACGATGGGCACGCTATGGAGAAAAGGCTCCATTTTCCTCAGTTATTAGTTGAGATGGACAAAATCAACAATGGTTTTTAAGGACCAGACTGCACCCCTTTGTCAACTGCTGGGGTCCAAGAGCAGAAGGAAAGAGCTATTATTCTTATATTTTCCTTGTAGATGTATTAATATAAACAGAGCCCCATCAGATCAAGCCAAAAACCTTGATCTGGTCTCAGAAAAGTTAACTCACCCACAGGTGTTTCTCAATAGCTGGTCTTTATATATCTTGACAAGGATGGTGATACAGGAGGCCCAGCTACTGTATTTGTCCCCACTTTCCCTCACCTATATTTAGGTGAGATGGGTGGCTATTTGAATTTGATAAATAAATAAATAGGGTAGGAATGAATGAGGATTCAATTCATTCTTCCTGTAATGGAAGTATGATTTCAGTGGTAGTGAGTCTTTAGCACCTCCATTGAAAAACTAAACTAGTGGCCAAAAGGGACAGTGAGGTAGACAGAGAGGGATTTAAGAGCATCTTCTGTGTGTCTTCTTTGTTCCCAGCCTCGCAAAAGGAACTCTTGTTCTTTGACTCTTCTTTCAATGTTTTGTATCAGACTGAAGTTGGAGGAATTCAGCGCCCTAGTAAAAGTAACCCAAAATCTACCTAGCTTCAATGCAAAACACATATGTACAGAGATCTAGGCGTATATTTTAATTTGAACTAAGTAACACAACGTTTGTACCTTGCAGGACAATCTTGAATTTTGCAGGAGCGCGGGTTGTTCATGACTGGCTTTTGATGGTCCTTGCATAGTGACGTATTCACATTTTGATCCTTCGTATTCACGCATACAAATTTTTGAAAGCGAGTTCCCGAATTTCCACAAGTTGTTGAGCATGGACTTTGCTCGCTAAGCTTCCATCGATATTCTGTCAAAGAGGATATATCTCAAATATATTTACTTCTTCACGATACAAGGAAATACCTTACTAGGATGAGGTGCTCTCATTATATCAATCTGTTATTGGTTTCAATCCACGATACTGGTTTATACACTATTATGTCCCCAGGCCAGGGTCTGCATAGCATGCTAAGCCAGCTATAAACCAGCCCTGTATGATATGCAAATTCAGATGAGTTTGGCTATCCCATCAATCCCCTTTAGTTTTTAAACTAGATCTAAAACACAGAAGGCTTCCTCAATCAACTCTAACCCTATGAACTCTAGGATTCTACAATTCTAGGATTCCACATCATCTACAAAGAATATGGTCATAAGCTAAGAAGCAAACTAAACACATAGTTAGGATCCCTGGCCCAATTGTTATTTATTTTTATGTGTTATTTATTATGCTTCTATGTTGTCCAATACGAGAAGTTCACTTGTTGGATTGTAAAATTATAAGAACATCAAAGGGAAAACAAGGAAAACAGCAGCATGAGGTTCACTGATAAAAAATGACTGATCGATCGATTGATTTTTGGAACTTATATGACTGCCCGTCTCATACAATGATTCTAGGTAGTGTTCAAGAACAAATTAAAAACATGATTGAAATAAAACTACCCTTCCCTCAATCAGCATCCTAGCCCAGTGCTTAAGAGAACAGCCAGATCTTCATAGTCTTCAAGAAGGCTAAAAAGTAGAGAGCCCTTGAATCTCAGGTGGGAGGCTATTCCAAAGAACTGGGGTGGCCAACAGGAAGGCACGCCTCCAAGATCCCACCAGGTGACAACATTTAAGAGAAGGGACCCTATCTAACCTAGTAGAACAGGCAGATACCCTTAGGGAGAGGCAGTCCTGCAATGATAGTATGAGATCTGGCATTTAAAATCAACTGAATCAACTAAAATGATAAAAAAAGACCTTGCTGTCATGGTTATTAACTGATCCCTGGCCATGGAGAAGGCAAGATCAAAATTGAGAGAAGCTTCTATTCCAATAAAGTTAACTCCTCTCCTCTCTCTATGGCACTAGTTATCAACTCCAGCTTTTAAAAAAAGCCTCGTTGGGGGCAATGAGGACTTGAGCAACTTAAATAATTTCTGCTAAATCGAAACAAAAAAGAAAAGAAAAGGAACAATTTCATTGCTCTCTAATTTTACTTGGTAAATTAGAGACTTTTCTCTTTTTTTAAACTGAGTTAATATTCAAGGATCCCACCCTCTCTCTTCTTTCAGAGACATAATTTAAAAAGATGAAGTACTATGCAATGTTGACGGTGGGGAATTATTTGGCTGGGGGGCTGGGGGTGGGAGGGTAAGGCTGGCTTTGCAATATCCACAAAATAATTGATCACTCCCAGCTGCATCCACAGGCTTATTCCCACAGCTTGCACAATGAATTCTTAAATTTATTGAGTTTTCAATGTTTCTTTATTACTCCAGGCTTTTTTAAACAAACAAAACAAAAGCACTCCTTTCAAAGCACAAATGCTTAATGTTTACTGAAGGCCAGTGTGACTAAATGACTGCATGATTTACATGGCCATAAAGACATGGCACACTGCGGTTTCTCTGCGCACTCAATGGCGCAAGAATCCCAGCCCTTCCCCTTAGCGATTTTTGATGCACTTCTTGTGCTTTAAATAATGACATTCTGACAGACATGCATCCCTCCCAATTTCCCAGGCTTGCATGTTCCCGGAAAAGAATGGCCATTTCAGAAACATGGGGATAGTCACCAACCACACCAGGGGTAGTCAACCTTGGCTCTTTTATGACTCGTGGACTTCAATTCCTGAGCCAGCTTAGCTGGCTCAGGAATTCTGGGAGTTGAAGTCCACAAGTCATAAAAGAGCCAAGGTTGACTACCCCTGAACCGTCGTTCCCTTGCTGAGAGCCACAAGTGGGATGGAAGGTGGAGAGAGGTGTCAAGCCACAAATTAGGATGGCAGCTGTCAAAATGGGCAATCTCCTCATGTTCTCCATGGAATTACCTGCATAGAGGCTTTCTTGAAACAAACCCACTATGACTGTTAATGACATTGAGGAGAAACGGTGAAAAACCTATAGAAGCAGGCTTCACATCTTATAAGAGCCTATAAATTAGCAATTTTTGCTGACAAGATCACAATGGCCATTTTTTTATATATAAGACTAAGCTCTTATATTTAATTTAAAATTGAAAAGCACAATCGTGGCCAGTTTAGCTGAATACTCACTCACTTTTCCAGGTTTTCAAAAATAGACTGGATAACCATTGGATTGGGATGGGATGAGGGGTTGGACTAGAAGACCTCCCAGGTCCCTTCCAGCCCTATAATTCTATGTTCTTCTATGTTCTATGATGTTCCAAACCATGGTTTATAAGCACAATGATTAGGTTTGTCCATATTGTAAAGCAAATCCAAATAAACCCCCCTTGGTGTTTGAATCCAGCCAGGGAGAGGTCATTCTAGATACTATCAAGGACCCAAAGAGCATGAGCTGCTGGGAAAGCATGTTTATTATTTATTATTAATTTATTATTAAATGTATTGACTGCCCATCTCACCGCAAGGTAATTCTGATTAATGATCATCCCATATTTTTGTCTCTCTGTGTGAGTTTTTTTAAAGTCAAGCTTCCTCAGCCAGTTATGCTGGGCTTCCCATTATTCCCAGCTATGCTGACAAGGGGAATGTTGCCTTAAATCAGGGATCTTCAAACTTGGCCCTTTTGTAGCTTGTGGACTTCAGCTCCCAGAATTCCTCACCCAGCGTGCCTACCTGAGGAATTCTGGGAGTTGAAGTCCTCAAGCCACAAAAGGCCAAGTTTGAAGACCTCTGCCTTAAATTATAACAGTAGGAAGTACCAAACATTTAAATAAATTAAAAAAAGTAAATGTGAAAATGTTATCAGGATCTTTCAACAAACCTTCCTTCTTGACATTTACCCAGACAGACAATGGCTTGACAAGGGATGAAGCCCAGCACTTGTATTGTCCAGCAAGCTGGTCAGAGGCAACGATGAATTCAAGGATGCGTCCCCCAACCAGGGTCTTGTGCTTGAAGTCTGACGCCCCTTCTATGGATTGGTTTCTGACAAACCAGCGGATTGTGTTATTTGCGCTAGGATAGACAGGACAACCTAGGAAACCACGTCAAGGTAATTATAATTTAGTAGCTGACCGGCAGAAGTGATATATAGAGAATGAGTCAGCTGAGTATTTTGGCGGTAGTATCCCTTTAAGAGATTGTTTCTGGAATATTTAACTCATTTGTATATAACTGACTACCTTGTATTCTGTTTGCTCCCTGAATGTTGTTGTTTCATATTGTATATTAAACCACAGTTCTTTTAACAAACCACTGTCAGATGTTTATGCTCTTGTGTTATCACAAGAAGAAAATAAGAAAAAGGCTGCGATCATTTATATATTTGAACAACAAACCAAAGGCACTTTTAGCTTTTTTAATTTTTTTTCAAAGCATCTAAAACTTGCTTACAGGATAAAGAATTCCGTTATTCTTAGGTGTCCCTGCCCCCCCAAAAAGACAATGGTGTCTTCAAAGTAGCTACAATATTTCAAGGGTCACAGAGGTAGGCTCTTTTGTGACTCGTGGACTTCAATTCCCATAATTCCTGAGCCAGCATGGGGGAGCTATGGCCCCATGACTCGTGGACTTCAACTCCCAGAATTCCTGAGCCAGCATGGGGGAACTATGGCCCCTTCATGACTCGTGGACTTCAACTCCCAGAATTCCTGAGCCAGCATGGGGGAGCTATGGCCCCCTCATGACTCGTGGACTTCAACTCCCAGAATTCCTGAGCCAGCATGGGGGAGCTATGGCCCCCTCATGACTCGTGGACTTCAACTCCCAGAATTCCTGAGTCAGCATGGGGGAACTATGGCCCCTTCATGACTCATGGACTTCAACTCCCAGAATTCCTGAGCCAGCTTGGCTCAGCTTGGAAACCTCTCCCTTTCCCCTCAGCATGGCTGGCTCAGGAATTCTGGGAGCTGAAGTCCACGAGTCATAAAAGAGCCAAGGTTGCCTACCCCTGGTCTATGACAATTCGCCGTGGCCAACTCACCATGGCCAACTCTTGCCATAGTCAACTTGCCACAGCCAACTCGCTGTAGAACAACTGGGCACAGCCGTGTTCCCACAAGACTGCGGGATAAGAGTTGCCCTAATATCAAAGAAAGGGTGGAATAGAATCATTAAAGGAAGGATGCAAAAGGAAGCTAAAGCTGAACCAGACTGACATGTGCCTGGCAAAAATTAAAACAATTTTTATTTATTTTAAATCATTAAGTAGAATTGTGAAATTGTCCTGCACAGTGAGCTGTCTCGTGACAAGTTGGCTGTGGTGAGTTGTCCCATTCCCACATTTCAAGGTTTCCCTCCCCCCTGGATTCTTTTTTTCAGAGCTGGGTATACAAGAAAAATGGAAACCTCCATTGCAGCGTATCCCATCTTGGCAACTTTGAAGACCTGTGGCCTTCAACTCCCAGAATTCCCCAGCCAGCCATGCCACTGCATCATGAACCAGAATTAAGAAGAATAGCCTTTTTTGTTGTTTCATTGGGCTTTTTATTCTGCCCTACTCTTGTTTCCATTTTCCCCTCTCCTTGCTTTGTAGCTTTTGGGCCATAATTCACCCTGCTCTTGAGATATTCAATGCTACCCTTTCTATGCCGTTGAGTTCCTTGGCTGCCATTTTTGGAACATCCTGTAACCAGTAACACAGATGCTCCCAAATAACTGCAGACATGACATGAATGAAACAAGAATGACCCCCCCTCCCTGCCCAGATCCCTTCCAGCCCTATAATTCTATGTTCTTCTATGTTCTATGATGTTCCAAACCATGGTTTATAACCACAATGATTAGGTTTGTCCACAATGTAAAGCAAATCCAAATAAACCCCCCTTGGTGTTTGAATCCAGCCAGGGAGAGGTCATCCTAGATACTATCAAGGACCCAAAGGGCATGAGCTGCTGGGAAAGCATGTTTATTATGTATTATTAATTTATTATTAAATGTATTGACTGCCCATCTCACCACAAGGTAATTCTGATTAATGATCAACCCGTATTTTTGTCTCTCTGCCACCCACTGTTTCAGGGCAGGGTTGACATTTGGGACCATACCTATTCGTAATGTATCACCAGCAGCCACTGTAACGTTCGTGCCAATTCCAGATGCCATGAAAACACGTTTTCTTTTACTCTTCATGGATGATCCGTTGTGTGGTTTCTGGAATCTTTGTCCTAAAATAACAGAGGAAATTACAGCCCAGGGTTTCCCGGACATAAAACCAAGGAGAGGCTGCTCAGGGTTGAAGGACTTCTTCAATCCTCTGTTCTCACTATGTTGGCGAAGCCCATCTGCAGGCAGGGTAATGGCCATAGCCCCTTTCCCCTTCCACCCATATATTCATGCTGTTAAAATCTGTTTTCAGCAGAGAGATATGTGATACAGAGCTGGTTTGGTCTACTGGTTAGTACACCAGGCTAGAAGCTGGGAGATCATGAGTTTTAATCCTGTCATAGCTATGAAAGCCAGCTTGGTGATCTTGGGCCAATCACCAGGAGAGTGAGTTCTAGTCCCAGCTTAGGCATCAAAGCCAACTGGGTGACCTTGGGCCAATCAACAGGAGACCACCAGTTCTGCCTTAGGCATGAAGGCCAGGTGGGTGACTTTGGGCCGATCACCAGGAGAGTGAGTTCTAGTCCCACCTTAGCAGCAGTGACCCACTGAGGTCAAAGCAGAAATGCTAGTTGAGGGAAGCCAAGAGATCCTCCCCATAGGGTGCCCAATGATGCCACTGACCCAACTTTATACTTGCCAGCCAATTTAAGAACAGTGGCTGCTGTGGCATGTCCCACAACACTGGTAGCCATACAAGTGTAAATTCCAGTGTCGTTGCCCGAAACATTGCCCAGGAACAAGAAGGAACTGTTAGCCACTGGGAAAGTAGAACTTCTTGAAGACCTCTCATTTTTGAACCACAGGACCTCAGGCTGGGGAATACCTGGGAGGCAAAGAAAAATATATTTAAAGGTTAATGCTTAGATAAGGCATTCCAAACAAACATCTTTCTGATTTGAACATCTTTCTGATTTCTGATCGCATTTCAACCTCTCCTGGGATTTGGGATCCTTCAAGCAGAGATGTTAAGTATCTAAGCCTAAAAAGGACGTATACAATGGACAATCAAATAAAACATGAGCAACTACCTGTGCATATTAATGCAGTCATCTTCTTTCACCAGTAGATGGTGGACTATGCATGTTACAACATGGATATTATATATATATGTGTGTGTATCTGTGTGTCAACATGGATATTTTATATATGATACATCATGGATATTATATGGGTAGTCCTTGACCTACGACCACAATTGAACCTAAAATTTCTGTCGCTAAGTGAGACCGTTGTTAAGCGAGTCTCTCCCCATTTTACAACCTTTCTGGACACAGTTGTTAAGTGAATCACTACAGTTATTAATATTAGTAATACAGTTGTTAAGTGAATCTGGCTTCCTCATTGCCCCAACTCCAGCTGGTCAACCTATGTGAATGAAAACATTGCCCATCCATGTCCTATGCCTCAAAGTAGTTTCTATCCTAAAATGGCCTGCATTCTGGTCCTGACAACCTTTGGGAAGGGTAACTCCCACACTGACACAGCCAAATGTGCTTCTGGGCACTTCATAAAAATGTATGCACCCTTTTCCAAGACAATGACACTTGTCCTGGATGTAGTTCCTGGAGGTTTTCACATGTACTAGTTTATAGGGTTTATAAGTTTATATTCACGCACCTCGGTTCCAATATACATGAAAGCTGGGACATGACCGTTGAAGTAAAGACAAGGACAGAAAAGCATTCTTCAAAATGAAAAAGGTCTTCTGAAGTCACGACATAAGCCTAAGACTGAAAATCAGGCTTGTCAGATGCTGTATTTTTTCTCTCCTGCTCTATGGAGTAGAGAGTTGGTCTCTGACAGAAGGCCACCTGAAGAGACTAGAAGCATCTGAAATGTGGATTTACAGGCGGCTGTTACGTATAAGCTGGGTTGACAAGATCAGAAATGAGGAGGGGATAAGCCGCCTGGGAAAGCCAAGGGAAATCATCAAAACAATTAAAAAACTAAAATTAGAATATTTCGGACATGTGATGCAACACCCAGAAAAATACGGCATGCTCCATTTAATCCTCCAGGGAAAGATGGAAGGCAAACAAGGTCCAGGCAGAAGAAGAACATCGTGGCTTCAAAATCTAAGGGACTGGTTTGGACAAAACTCAGCAGCACTTTTTCATGTGGCTGCTGATAAAAACAGGATCGCCAACATCCGATAATGGATATGGCACAAGAAGAAGAAGAAGTTTATAGGGCTGTGCATGGCTGTGGATTCAGAATCCAAAGGCCACTTTTGGATATGTGGGTGTGCAGCCAATTGTGGCATCTATCTGCAACTCCTTAAACCGAGCACATTTTAAATAGAAGAGGCCTCATAAAAATGCATGTACTCCCATTAATTTCTCCAGACTTCAGCACATTGTTTCATAGGCTGCCTAAAAGGTATGATGGATTACTTGTCAACGCTGGCCCGGAATGGGAAGTGATATGTGGAAAAGGAATAAAGAAGAATAGAATAATAAGGTTGAGAGAAATCGTTGGAGGTCTTCTAGTCCAATCCCCTGTTCAAGCAGGAGAACCTATACCAGGGGTAGGCAACCTTGGCTCTTTTATGACTCGTGGACTTCATAAAAGAGCCAAGGTTGCCTACCCCTGACCTACACCATTCCAGGCAAGTGGCTGTCCAGTCTCTTCTTGGAAACCTCCAGTGATAAAGTGCCCACAATTTCTGACAGTTCAGGTATATTTTAGCCTTACCTTTGACTGGACATTCCAGCAGAATATTCGCCCCTGTTCTTGCTAGGATTGTGCCTCCAACCGAGACAGACAGATTCTGAAGCTCAAAACTGGCAATATTTTTCTCAGAAGACAATATAGTAGGGGCTTCTGTGAGGGACAATCAATGGGGAGAGAAATTAGTCCCAGAATTTTGCCTTCTTGTCAGACCCACCGAGAGACCCTCAGGATGGAACTACATGGTCTCAGAGAAAGGAATTCAGCTGGAAAGAGTTGCCCAAAACCTATTTTTTCCTTATTTTCATGTTTTCCCTCTCAAATTATGGCAACTACTGAACCTCAGAAAGGAATGTTTACAGATCGTTGGGAGGGGAATGTTGTATGCAAATCCCCTCACATTTCATTTAATGTGAAAAGGAGTGTTTAAAAACCTTTCCCCAAGAGTGATTTTCCCACGTTCCTTTTACTAATAGTAACAATTTCTCTACAGTTTTGCAGGCTAGTATTTCACAGAAATTAAAAAAAAAACACCAAACCAATTCATTATCATCAAACAGAGACCAGGAGGGCCTATGTCTTATTGAGAGATGATTGATGGTTCGTAACTAATTTGCAAATTGCCACACGAAGTATCACCTGCGTAAAACAGCGCCATGTCTTGAAAACGTTCATTGTCCACTGTGCAGCGATACACCCCCATTTCTTTCTCAGTAGGGTTCACAATCTGGACTTTGCTGTTGGCTTCAAAAGTCACTCTGCAGAAGGTTTAAAGGATAAAATTTGATCAACAGAAGTGAACACAGGTGTACTCCTTGACGTAGGAACACAATTGAGCCAAACGTTTCTGTGGTTAAGTGAGACATTTGTTAAGTGAATTGTGCCCCATTTTACGACCTTTCTGGCCTCAGTTGTTAAGTGAATCACTGCAGCTGATAAGTTAGCAACCTAATTGTGAAGTGAATCTTGGCTTCTCCGTTGACTTTGCTTATCAGAAGGTCAAAAAAGGAGATTATACGATCCTGGGACACCGCAACGGTCATAAATGTGAACCAGTTGCCCAGCGTCTGAATTTTGATCACGTGATCATGGGGATGCTGGAAAGGTTGTAGCTGTGAAAAATGAGTCACTTTTTCCAGTGCTGTTATAACTCTGAACGGTCATTAAACAAACTGCTGTAACTCGAAGATTACTTGAACTGTTCTCCACAAACTGCCCGAACAACCATTAACAAACGGACCGTTCTCTTTCCACAACACTATCGCAGTTGTCCCGGATCATCAGGGGAAAATGTACAAGACCCAACCGGCACTTCGTTATGGAGTTTGCTCCTCAATCAAGAGGCATTCTAAGTGTGTTCATTAAGGAAAAGTGTGCCTGAGAATCAGCATGATTCTACATGTCCTCCTCGTTGCTTTGATGTTGTGTGTCCTCTGGCCTTACTGCAAATGTATTCAGTGTTCCACCTGGCCAGGTTTTCAGAAAACAGCTCTGCGCCATCTTGCTAAAACTTAGCTTGCCTCAGCTGATCTTTTTTTTTGGCATAGATTGTCTTATCTACCCTCTTGGTTTTAAATTGGTTAATTCAACCCTGTGCACGTAGTCTAACCTGGCAGAAAGATTTAGGTTTCTGCAGATTTTCAGAGTCAATTATTATCCTATTGTTACTCTTTTGAATTAGAAAGAGAAAGTCAACTTCTCTATGTTCTGTTGTTGTTTTTAGCAAGAATGCTAAAATGGCTTGTCAGTGACTTTTTTTTTTGAAAATGCTATTCTGATTTCCCAATCTGTGCTATACCACTGGAATTTCCTAGAGATTTGCCCATCCAAGTACCTTTGACATCATCCAATGTCAGTGCAGAGACTCTCATATATATATACAAAGGATTTACAACAGTGAGTGCTAAATAAACAATATGTCAGATTAATCAATCCAACAATTGTGAGTAAGCTTTACAAGTGGGACACTTGCTTATAAGATTGATGTAGCTTATTTGGTATGTTCATCAGTGCTCAAGTGTAAATATAAACCCTTAGTATCTTTATTTTACCTATACCCTCATGCCTTTTAAACCAGCCAGAAAACACTGCATGCCACATATTTGCAGGCCAGCAATTACTGGAAACATCTGTGAATGCTACAATAAAGTCAACTTGACCTGTTTAATATTCAGTGTCCAAAATATTTGTCTTTGATTTATAAGTGAGTCATGGGTGGTGTTCAGTTGAAATATGAGTTTTGGGGAGGGCTAAAAGAAAGGCAGAAAGAGAAAAGGGAAAGAGTTTTTCACAATAAGAGGAGAAGTAAACTGGAAATCAATAAGCCAGTAATTAAGCATTCTAAAACATGGAAAAAGGTAGATCCAAGACATAATACGGGTCCTAAAATTGTTTGAAAGACCTTGAAGCTTAAAGGCAACATGCTAAGCTTACAATTTAAGAAGGATTTTCACAAAGATACTGTTATGTCTACGACACAGTCGCATATTATGTGACAACAACAACAATCATTCAGGTGAGGGCAGAATGGCTGAAACATTTAACATTACTTACTTCTCAGCAGGCTTTAATGGCATTCCATCTTTGGTCCAAGTATATTTTAGGTTGCTAACTCCAGCAGTTGCACAGAGAAGATTTATTGTGCTGACATTCTTGGTTAACAAAAAGGTACCCCCAATTTGCAGAGTTACAGTTTCGTTGGAATAAACCTCCTGTGGCTTGACCATCATGGGTCCTTTTGAGTTTCTCACTACTGGGGCGCCTACAGTTTTTGTGCTGAGATTATCCCTCGCTCTTTGTGATTTGTCAAGTTTCTCATTTGCAGACTCTTTTCCTTTGCCGGGAGCAGACTGCGATGGCTTCACTAACTCAGCAATCAACTGATAGACAAACTGGGAAGCCAAATCATTGCTAATTTCTCCAGCTTCAATGAGATGGCTCAGATTTTTTACCAGCTCATCAAAGTGGTCTGTATCCATACTGTAAGCATTAGGCGAAGCCACCGTTTTGAGTTGCTCGGCTGTGAATCCGTGAGCGTGGTGTCCTCCTTCTGAATTTCTCCTCTGAGTTTTAAGATGTTCTGAAGCAGGCTGGTCGTTCACTTGTTCATCACGCAGATAGCGTTGACTTTTCTGGCTCCACAACTGCCAGATCTGATTTATTTGGTGCCATTTTGCGTCTTTTTGGGTGGGGGCAGATTCCAGTAGCCTGTTGCTTGTGCCAAGGAGCTTAAGAACAAAGATCTCCTGGGCAGACCCTGCAACGCACTTATACACTCCAGTGTCTGAAGCGTCAAGATTATTGATCTTGAGAGATCCTGATTTGGTGACACCAAGATGTTTAGAAATCTGGAGAGGCTGCCCATCTTTCTCCCACCGAATAAGCGTCTTCTGGAATCTCCGAACAGGACACCTGACGATGACAGATGTTTTGGGAAGTAAATAAGCTCTGCTCCCCACAGTGAAATTAATGCGTTTCTCTTGTCTCGTCTGAATATAGACTTTATGGATACCCAGTATCTGTGGCTTGTCAAAAAGTCTGGATTTCTTTTCTTCTTTTAGATCTGAAATGGCAAAGGTAATACTGAGAACAGGTATATGCTTTCGTCATTGTTTTGCATTTTCACCGTGTCATTTATTTTGCTTTAAAGGTTGGAAACTCAGTTTACCTAGAAGCGTTTCAGACCAACATTTATCTGGATGGAATATGGAGAGCTGAGGCTTGGGACACTAATATGCTAACTCTCCAATTGTTCTTGGGAAGGTCAATCAGACTTTGAAGCAAGCAAGGCATCAGTGAAGCAGTAATTTAGCAGGTTAGCTAGAAAGAGTCCTAATACAGGAAGTATTATGACCACAGCTGAGCCCAAAATTTCTGTCGTTAAGTGAGACATTTCCTAAGTGAATTTTGCCCCATTTTATGACCTTTCTTGCCACACTTGTGATGTGAATCACTTCAGTCGATAAGTTAGTAACCCGGTTGTGAAGTGAATCTGGTTTCCCCACTGACTTTTGCTTGTCAGAAGATTGCAAAACATGACCTTGGGACATAGGTCATAAATACGAACCAGTTGCCCAGCATCTGACTTTTGATCACATGATCATGGGGATGCCGCAAAGGTCACAACTGTGAAAAACGGTCGTAAGTCACATTTTCAGTGCCATTGTAACTTGTAATGATCACTAAACAAACTGTTGTTAGTTGAGGACTCCTTGTACCGTCCACCAACTTCTACAACGAAAGGGAAGAAAGAAGGTTGCATATAGGAACACGATGGAACATGCAACCTGTTAATAACTACTTGTCTTCGTGAAAATTAGGAAACCGTGAACAAGTGTTCTAGACCAGCCTTACTATATATGGGTAGAGAATACTCAGCAGTGAGCTGCACCCTAAAACTGGAGATTGAACCAGCCAATGATAACTGAAACATGATTCTGCTCATTGTGTATCTTGGCTATAGGCAATGTTTAATATAAACCATCTAAAAACTGATCTTATGTGACAGTTTCTTTAGGCCTCTTTCCCTTTTCAAAACATGTTTCTCAACCATCAGAATAAACATTCTTTTTTGTTGCTTTTTTGGATTATATTCCTTCATGGCATACATTACAGCTACAGCAAAACTTCACAACGTTTCTTTAACATCACTCTCCACCAAACAATCTGCTGATTGGACACGCTGCCATAGAAATATCTATAATTAAATAAATTCATATATATATATATATATATATATATATATATATATATATATATATATATATATATATATATATATATATATATATATATATATATATATATATTGGTAATTAAACTGAATATATGATCCCTGGGTGCATCCATGCCAAACAAATAAAATAAAACGAACACCAGGGTAAAATAATCAAACTCTAGGAGTTTAATGTTACNCCAGGCAATAAAATCTCAAAAAGAAGTTTCGTATTATGAACGTATCAATAATTATTTCAACTCTTATTTTGTTGGATGGGTTGTTTTTAATACAATGTTGAAGAATGAAGCTAAGCACCCAGCAATAGTCATTAAAGCCAAATAAATGTTTCCATTAGGACTCTATGTTTGCTGCCAAACTAATATTGCAACATAGTCTTAGTGTCAATGTTCAGATTTTTTCAAACAATTGATAGCAAGCAGTCTTGAGTTTCGAACCAGATCTTCTGCCTAATAAATAGCTCAGTGAAAATTCTGCTTTACCATTTAAATGCTACAAATTACCATAAAAATAAAAATGTAATCAGCTTCTAGAGGGGTAGAGAAACTTGAAGATCTGGCTGTGCTCACCTTTTTGCTATGGCTTCAGATAATTCTAATCCTGTTGAAACAGTTATCTTTGTACCACTCACCAGCTAAATTCACTGGAGGCTATCCAAGGTCCTGATTGATCCTTACAAGAACCCATAGTGATCACTGTATATTGTTATGAGCTGACCTGATCTAACATGATTTAACATCCTTTGATTTCCTTTTAATTGATGCACTAGAGTTACTTTAATGCCAACTTGCCAGCAGCCCATTTTTTGACTGGTTTCAAAGCGGGCAAAAGAACACATCCTCTGATTGGCTAAATTAATTATTATGGGATTTACAACGTGGGTGGCTGTCAAAGGCATCTTTGCAGTCTAAACACTGTGACCTCTTGAGTCTGATGGCTTTATTTAATCTAATCTATTTATTTAGACTTTATTTAATCTAAACCTAGAGCTCTCGTTACCTTCATGGAATCAGAATAGCGGAACATTTTTTTGATGACAAAGCAATGAGATGAGACGACCACAAATGAGCCCAAAATGTCTGTTGCTCAGTGAAATGTTTGTTAAGTGAATTTTGCCCCATTTCACAACTTTCCACACAACAGTTTGTTAAGTGAATCACTGCAGTTGTTAAGTTAGTAACATGGTGGTTTAATGAAATTGGCTTCCCCTTTGACTTTGCTTGCCAGAAAGTCACAAAAGGGGATCACATGACCCTGGGACACTGCAGCCATCATAAATGTGAGTCAGTTGCCAAGTCAGTTGCCAAGCAGTTGCTGCAACCATCGTAAGTGTGAAAAAGGGTCCTCGGTCACTTTTTTCAATGCCGTTGTAACCTTGAGCGGACTGTTGTAAGTCAAGGACTACCTGCTTTAAAGGCCAATCAGAATTGTTAGAGATCTTGGCAAGGCCCATGTAGAGAAGACGATAAGGCAGGGCTGTAGAAGAGAGCAGAATGAGCTCAGGGATGCTAACAAGTGTAACAGAAAAAGTGATCTCTAATGGTTAGAGTCAAAGGAAGAGCAAAGCAAATAGTAGAAACAATGGTAAGTTTCATGCACACAGGACACTCAGTGTTCAGCAGAGCAGGGGTGAATCTGCAAATATATACAATATTTTATGTAGACAACAACAACAATAATAATAAAGTTGGAAGGGATCTTGGAGGTCATCTAGTCCAGCCCCTGCTCAGGCAGGAAACCCTATAACATTTCAGATAATTGGCTGTCCAATCTCTTTTTAAAAACTTCCAGTGTTGGAGCATTCACCGCTTCTGGAGGCAGGTTGTTCCACTAGTTAATTGTTCTGTCAGGAAGTTTCTCCTTAGTTCTAGGTTGCTTCTCTCCTTGATTAGTTTCCATCCCTTGCTTCTTGTCCTGCCTTCAGGCGCTTTGGAGAATAGCTTGACTCCCTCTTCTTTGGGGGAAACCCCTGAGATATTGGAACACTGCTATCCTGTCCCCCCTCGTCCTTCTCTTCATTAAACTAGACATACCCAATTCCAGCAACCGTTCCTTATATATTTTAGCCTCCAGTCCCCTAATCATCTTTGTTGCTCTTCTCTGCATTCTTTCTAGACAGTTGAGTAAATGATGGCTAACTAAAGACACAGAATATTTGAACTAGTTGACCTGTAAGATACTTTAGCTTTTTACAAACAGATACTGTATGTCCTGTGTTTTCTCTAAGATAAGATAGGTAAATTCAATTCTAGATTTTCGGAAAATTTAAGTTATTGATTGAAACGCAGGACAGCCTTGACCAAGCTCCAAATATTGTGCAAAACTAAAGGGTATCTTATTCTCTAAATCTAGTGTAATAATATTTCCAAATTGGGGCATCTCTCTGTCTCCTCAATTGTGGAATCTTCAAATGTGCCATTATCCTTAATATAGCTCTAACTGAGAAAGCAAACAAGTTTTTTCATCCACTTTTATTAAGCAAGACAGGGAGGCAACACACCTGCCTCTGAACTATATTTTTTTAGAGCAGAAGAGTTGGTCAGAATAAAAAGGGTGAACGGTATTTCTTGACATAAAAAAAGTCAACGTGGAAAAACCCACAAATCAAGAGGGTCGCCCTCCAAGAATTGCTTTTAAAGAAAGGTAGGGAGAAATCATAAATGTGAAATTGCTGGTTTATTTATTTTTTTAAATGCAATTTGTCCCTTGAGTTAGCCTTTCCCTGCAGGTTTAAAAGCACCGGTGTTTAAAGGAAATCTAGAGGGGAATCTGGGCAAATGTGGTGGGGTTAGTTTTTTTTTTTAATCTTTTGTGTGTTTTGGGCAAACGTTAAGAGTTTGTTTTGCCGAAAAGCAGTACGAAAGATGAAAAAACACTACCACGCTGCAGAGGAACAATAGTTGCTGTGGAAAAAATCAACACCAAGTTCTACAAAGAAAAGCCTCCCAGGGTTTGTAAAAACTGCAGATAGTTGATGGACATCTCATACTTAGTTTTTGGGTTTTTTTTTTACAAAGTACGGGCACTTTGAAATCATGGGCTAATAGGCTCTGCCATGGATTTTTAACGGGAAGGTTTGGCACATGGGTTACATCTTGGGGTAAATGGAATGTTTTTGAAGCTGGGATGCAGGGGGACTTTTTCCCTTCACAAACAGAGCGAAAGAACATCACTTACTTCGGCAGGCATTCCTGTGGCAAGGCCTGACAAGCTGGGATGCTGGAAAGCTGCTACACAGGGATCCATTTAATGCCAGATGTTGGCCTCTGGCCGTGAGCTTTTGGCAGGTGGCTTTCCTTCGTTGTGTGCCAACCCCACAGCTTACAGAGCACTGCAAAAGGAAGGATGTGATCAAAGTGTGCCAACTTTAAATAAAAAATGTGGTAGGGCCCATCTCGTTCTCAAAGGGTTGTGCTTTCATTGGATTGCCTTAGAGCAGTGGCTCCCAACCTCTTCTATACCCCGCGCCCCTAGGACGCTTCTGATATATTCTCGCGCCCCTTACAAAAGGAATACCTGGTTATGCATATGCACTATCATTTTGAAACTTCTAAACCCAAGCTTTCGCATCCCCCTGGAATATTGTCTTGCACCCCCCCCATTGGGAACCCCTCCCTTAGAGGGCACTTGATCAGGAATAGCGGGAAGGGGGAAAGGGGGAATGGGAAAGAGACAGGAGAAGGAGAGGGAGAAGGACTGGAGAGGAGGAGGAGAAGGAGAAGAAAAAGGATGGGAGAGAGAGGAGAAGGAGAAGGAGGATTGGAGGGAGAGGAGGAGGAGAAGGAGAAGGAAAAGGATGGGAGAAAGGAGGAGGAGGAGGAGGAGGAGGAGGAGAAGGAGAAGGGGAAGGGGAAGGGAGAGAGGGAGGGAGGGAGGAAAGAAAGAAAGAAAGAAAGAAAGAAAGGAAGGAAGGAAGGAAGGAAGGAAGGAAGGAAGGAAGGAAGGAAGGAAGGAAGGAGAGAGGAAGGGAAAGAAAAGGAGGAAAGGGGAGGGCAAATGGACAGAGGGGGGAGGAAGATGGGAGAAGAGGCATAAATAAATTCTTTAAAAGCATTCTTATTTTAAGCTACGTACCCTAGACCACGGTCCCACCACCAACTGAGGAGGGCAGTCTATTTTTGCACAGGATCTGGAACTGTCCAATCTAGGTTGAGGGCACTTCTCATGACCGAGTTTCAGAAAGCTTCCATCCATCAACAGCTGCTGGCAGGTCACCTTGCGATTCTGGGTGCCACCACCACAAGTGTGGGAGCACTAAGGAGAAGAAACTAAGATGATTCAAGGCCTGGAGACTAAAACATACGAAGAACGGCTACGGGACTTGGGTTTGGCTAGTCTAAAGAAAAGAAGAAATAGGGGAGAATGATAGCAGTGTTCCAGTATATGAGGGGCTGCCACAAGGCAGAGGGGGCAGGTTGTTCACCAGAGCACCAGAGGGAAGGACGAGAAACATTGTTTGGAAACTGGTCAAGGAGAGAAGCAACCTGGAATTAAGGAGAAACTTCCTGACGGTGAGGACAATCAACCAGTGGAACAACTTGCCTCCAGAAATCGTGGGTACTTCATCACTGGAGATTTTTAAGAAGAGACCAGACAGCCACTTGTCTGAGATGGTATAGGTTGGCAGGAGGCTGGACTAGAAGACCTCCAAGGTCCCTTCCAGCTCTTATTCTATTCTATTCTATTCTATTCTATTCTATTCTATTCTATTCTATTCTATTCTATTCTATTCTATTCTCCATTCCATATTCTACTCTACTCTACTCTACTCTAAATTCAGAACACTGCACTATCAATGGCTTCTCATTAATCTCACTCAGCTAGAGTGTCACTCTCCTTGGAGGTGGTTTCCAGCCCTCATCGTCGGCAGACCATCTTACCTGTTGCCATTCTTCAACATGCCAAAGTGGGGGACAGTCAAGCTGGTTGCATGCTTGTAAGGAATGAGGCTTCAGGTCTTTGCAGCTTTCAGATCCAACCACAGAACCTCCAGATTGCTGGCAATGCACCTGTCTGGTCTGGATTCCAACGCCACAAGTGGCAGTACATTGTGTCCAAGGTCCTACTTGCCATCTGTTCCAAAATATGATGACATCAGAGCCCTAAGCAAGCCACACCATAAAGTACAAGAGGAATGCTTTGTGAAATATCTCTCTGTCTCTGTCTCTGTCTCTGTCTGTGTCTCTCTCTCTCTCTCTCACACACACACACACAGACACACAGAGAGAGTGAGAGAGCAAAACAGAGTAATGAAAACAGTTGAGAACTCTTATTTTAGCCCAGCACTGTGCATCACCACAGGATATCTTCCACCAATACACTTTCATCATTCATCCCCAAAGACATTACCTACGTCCTACCTTGGGGGGCAAAGCCTTGCATTGCACGCCAGGCTCATTGGTGGAGGTCTCTTTGAACTGTCACACAGGCTATCATTGACGGCTTGTTTTGTCTCTTCGTGTAAGCAGACAGCAATGGCGTCTTGAGTCCCTGGGTGGTAAAACAAACCAACGAGCAGTCACTGACCTCAAATCTTTTGCAACAGAGTAGTGTTGAAACATATTTCTATATATACATTCTTCCGCCGTAATTTATGTGAAGGCAATGCTGCCATGATACTTGCTCCAATTCCTTATTGGTTCTTCGGTGCACAATTCTACTTGTTTACCGAATAACAGAGCCGGAAGGGAACTTGTAGGTCATCTAGTCCACCACCACCCCCCCTGCTCAAGCAGGAGACGCTATACCATTTCTGACAAGCACCTGTCCAGTCAGCAGCAAATTATGGGAGGGTGGCTGGTCAGAATCCTTATGAAACTGCCACACAACAGTTTTCAATGAATGGATCACTTGGCCCAGCTTCCTTGCCCAGGACTGTACCACGTCCCTCTTCCCTTGCCAGCCACATACTATTCCCCTATTCTTAATTTAAACCCCATAAGCCTTCAACTAGATTTTGCTTGCTGCAACTTAAGATCGTTATTCCAAGGACTAAAATCTGGAGCAATGGACTAAAATCTGGAGCAATGAAGAACAGGCCTTGGTTGCGTTCTGCACAACACCTTCCTAGCCCTTTGAAGAGTTCCATCATTTCCCCAAGCCCACTCCCGCGGTCTTTGGTCAAGGTTTAATGCACTCAGTTCCTTCAGTCTATCTTTATAGGACCTGGTTGCCAATCCTTGTTCATTCTTTTCACCCTTCTCTGAACCAATTCCATTTTTTTCCGAATCTTCTTAAATTTTAACGGGTAGATTTTTTTTAAGAAAAAAAGAAAATAAAAGCAGAGTCTGGCCAGAGGACATCAGAATTCTTCCCTCCTATGATTTTGAAAATTAAACTATTAATCCAGTTTAAAAATTTAGTAATGCATAGCCCATTTTTACTGCATCCAGTTTTGGTCACCGCATTACAAAAAAGACATTGAGACTTTGGGAAAAGTGCAAAGAGCAATTAAGATGATTAAAGGCCTGGAGACTAAAACATATGGAAAATGGTTGCAGGATTTGAGTTTGGCTAGTCTAGAGAAAAGAAGGACTAGGGGGGACATGATAGCAGTATTCCAGTATTTGAGAGGCTGCCACAAAGAAGAGGGGGGGTAACGTTATTCTCCAAAGCACCAGAAGGCAAGACAAGAAACAATGGATGGGAACTAATCAAGGAGAGAAGCGAGCTGGAATTATGGAGAAACTTCCTAACATTGAGAACAATTAACCCGTGGAATGGCTTGCCATCAGAAGTTGTGGGTGTTTCATCACTGGATGCTTTTGAGAAGAGACTGGACAGCCATTTGTCTGAAATGGCATAGGGTATCCTGCTTGAGCATGGGATTGGACTAGAAGACCTCCAAGGTCTTTTCCAGCTCTATTCTGATTGAACACACTTGACTTCTAATAAAACCTTTCTCAACAAATGGAGCCAAGGATTGTTTCTATTTAGAGGTTTAAGAGGGAGCAGATCTGACAGACAGCTCTTAAGGCAGTGATGGCGAACCTTTTAGAGATCGAGTGCCCAAACTGCAACCCAAAACCCACTTATGCATTGTCGGGTGCCAGGTGGGTGTGGCCCATTGGGTGGGCGTGACTGCGGTGGTAATGGCAGACTGGGTGGGACTAAAAAGTTCAATCAATCAATTCCAACTTTGCAAGATCTTTTTTTTTCCTGTGAGAAGTTGAAATTGACTGATTGATTGAACCTTTTTTTTGTTGTACACGGTGGCAGAGGCCTACAGCGAAAACGTTTTATAAAACCCAGCTGAAGGCCTAGGACTGGGGCGACGGCGCGCGTGCCCACAGAGAGAGAGGGCTCTGAGTGCCGCCTCTGGCACCCGTGCCATAGGTTCGCCACCACTGTCTTAAGGCCTTACTATTGAGCACTCTCATTTTCTGCTTTACTTGTCACCGGAGGAGGAAAATGGTGTTTTAAGTGATGGATCAGCTGCTGAAAACAGGGGCACCACCCTAAACTCCAACGCTCAAATCCCAAAATGCAGAACACTGTCACACTTCATCTCCTTGTATTGCAAATCTTTCTAGCAAATGTTGGGCAGAGTCCCTTTTATGGGGTGCAAAGATGCCTCGGAAGACTCATGCATATTCGAGACGGTAAAACAAAGAAGCAATTCCCACCATCCAACTAAATGAAATAGAACCAAAGTCACTCGCTGAACGAGCTTTCATTGGTATTAGATGGTGCTGGAGAAACACACATAACGCGATACGCAAGATTGAAAACGGTCACAGTTCAAGGGATCTGTATCCTTCCTTTCAGATGCATTTCCCCCTCATGATTTGACCCGGGGGCTACAAATCTGATCTCAAGACAGCTTAATCTTTCTCTTTTGTTAAAAGATTTGCAGGATTTCAAGCACCTTTTGTCCTTTCGGCTGCACGGCCTAATAAAAACGAAGAGCCTCGTTATTCGGCAAAGTACCGTTTCCCGGAAAAACCTCACATTTCATTCAGATGCTGTTTGTTTTCACCTGCAGGACGGCTAGACAATTATTGCCATAAATATCTCGTCTCCTAATTCATCAGGAACGGCTCCATCGTTACTAAAGAGGCCCGTTTTTTATTTTTAGCTGACTCGGTGGAAATTGCAAGACTGGGAGACTACGAGTGTAAAATTGATGACTTCCACTAATTAGTTATAAACCGGGTACGGATTTTTATCCCTGGATATGAGTGATAAGTGACTTTTATAAGACCATCTCAAGCAGTTACATCTGTCTCCAATCATTCAAAATTACATTACCTCATAACTGGATATTATCCATGGCACACAAAGGGGAAAAAAAAAAAACACCAAGGTGTGATCTTGGGGGAAAAATCATTTGGCAGACACACCTTGCTCTTCATTAAACCACCAGTTAAGAGTGATCAACTATAGACAGTCCTCGACTTACGATTCATTTAGTGACCGTTCAAAATTGCAACTGGAAAAAAAGCGAATTATGGCCATTTTTCATACTTAGCACTGTTTCAGCATCCCCTAGGGTCACGTGATCAAAATTCGAATACTTGGCAACCGACTCATATTTATGACGGTCGCAGAGTCTCAGGGTCCCAGGATCCCCTTTTGCGACCTTGAATCAATGGGGAACCCAGATTCCATTCACCACCACTTGATTCCATTCACCACCACGACTCGTTTAACAGCTGCAAGGATTCACTTAACCACCGTGCCATGAAATGTCGTAAAACGGGGCAAACTCCCTTAACTGATGTCTCGCTTAGCAACGGAAATTTTGGGCTCAACTGTGGCCCTTAGCTGAGGACAACCTGCACACTCACATTTCAGCACTCAAACCGCGATGTAAAAAAGATGCTGAGACTCTCGAAAGAGTACAGAGAAGAGCAACAAAGATGATTAGGGGACTGGAGGCTAAAACATATGAGGAACGGTTGCTGGAATTGGGTATGTCTAGTTTAATGAAGAGAAGGACGACGGGGGACATGATAGCAGTGTTCCAGTATCTCAGGGGCTGCCCCAAAGAAGAGGGAGTCAAGCTATTCTCCAAAGCGCCTGAAGGCAGGATAAGAAGCAACGGATGGAAACTAATCAAGGAGAGAAGCAACCTAGAACTAAGGAGAAATTTTCTGACAGTGAGAACAATTAACCAGTGGAACAACCTGCCTCCAAAGGCTGTGAATGCTCCAACACTGGAAGTTTTTAAGAAGAGACTGGACAGCTATTTGTCCGAAATGGTGTATGGTTTCCTGCCTGAGCAGGCGGTTGGACTAGATGACCTCCAAGGTCCCTTCCAACATCATCATCATCATCATCATCATCATCATCATCATCATTATTATTATTATTATTATTATTATTATTCTCATCATCATCATCATCATCATCATCTCTAGCAGCCACCCTTGAGACCGGCGTGAATTACTATTATAATGGTCGCCATGAGCGGAAAAGCACACACAATGTAAAAGCGTAATACCTCCGTTACATGTAGCTGAGCAGGGAGTAAAGCCGATGTATTCCCAGTCATAAAAAACTTTACCGGCCTCTTCGGAGGGTACGAAAGGCAGGGTGTATGGGACAGGATCCGCATCACACGGCTCCAGCTGGCAACTCCGCTCGGTCAATGGTTTGGGTCCTTCACATTCCTCGTCAGGCAGCTCCACCTCAGCCTGAGTAAACGCAAGATAAATGTGGCACTTGACATCACGCATCTGAGTACCATGGCCGCAAGAGGCACTGCAAGGGGACCAAGGCTCGGGGACAAACCTGCAACAAAACCACATCATAACAACCTTTGGTGTCTATGTGTAGGATGAGATCGAGTCAACCAAACACCATCCAACATGCTGTCCCTTTTTCTCCGAGTCTCCTCTTACTTTAATTTAGCCTCTCTAGTCCTGATCATTCTCCCAAAGGGTGCTTTTTTTCCACAAGGCAACTGAACTTTCTTGGGGTTTTTTTTGTCCCTTTGAAAATGTTTTGCTTCTTCAGTTCTGCTTCTTGGATGAGAAGCGAAACTTTTTTGAAGGAAGGAAGGAAGGAAGGAAGGAAGGAAGGAAGGAAGGAAGGAAGGAAGGAAAGAAAGAAAGAGAAAGAGAAAGAGAAAGAGAAAGAGAAAGAGAAAGAAAGAAAGAGAGAGAGAGAGAAGAAAGAAGAAGGAAAGCGAAAGAAGGAAAGCGAAAGAAGAAACAAAGGAAAAAGAGAGAGAAAGAAAGGGGAGAAAGAAAGAAAGAAAAAAGAAAGAAAAAAGAAAGAGAAAGAGAGAAAGAGAGAGAAAGAAAGAACAAAGAGAGAGAGAGTCCTCCGGGAGAAGGGCGGGGTATAAATATAATAAATCCTAAATCCTAAATCCTAAAGAAAGAGAGAAAAAGAAAGAGAAAGAAAGAGAAAAGAAAGAGAAATAAAGAAAAAGAGAGAGAGAGAAAGAACAAAGAGAAAGAAAGAGAAAGAAAGAAAGAAAGAAAGAAAGAAAGAAAGAAAGAAAGAAAGAAAGAAAGAAAGAAAGAAAGAAAGAAAGAAAGAAAGTTGCTTTTTTGGAAAAAGCAGCATGAAGTCTAGGACTTCAGCTCCATTCTCTTCATGCAGCATGAAGAGACGTTTCACCTTCTGTTACCATCTCATTCCTGTTCACCCTTCCTGGCTAACCTAGAGAGGGTCATTTAGCCCTAACAAACACAGGGCTGTTTGGAGTTAAAACTAACCTTGCACCTACATTGTTGAAACTTAAAAAGGTTGTCGCCTCACTCTTTTTCCATCTCTGAGAAGGCTTTGACAAAATTCTGATTATATTTCAAAAGAGTTGGACGTTATCGCTAAACTCAATTAACCCATTAATATATATATATATATAGAGAGAGAGGGCTGTTATCTCACAATGGCCGGGAAGACATCCAAAATATGCAGATAATTGTAAGTTCAGATAAATGGAAAAGCCATTTACAAGAGGGCTCCATCCATCATTCCCTTTCAGTGGCATTTTCATAAGAGGTCCTTCAAATAAATGGAAGTCACATGGCAATAACCGCTTGGCCATTTCTGCACCTAGGCAGAGAAGAATGTTCACAGGGGAGAGGGAAAGAACCTACGGTTGCCCTAATGGTCCACGCAGTCACTTCTGACAAGATCTAAAAGCCAAATCATGGTCTGAAGGCATCTGATCCAGCAGCCTTGCTAAAGTTAAAAAGCATAATTCAAGAGAATACTTGAAAGAAAAAACTCCCTAGGAATTTTGTTTAGGTGTTTCAAGTCTCATGGAAGAAGAGGAAGATATAAATGCAACAAATAAAGAACCAGTTTTGGGGGGGGGGGGCAGCAACGGAAGACAAAGGGGGTGCTTTTAAATCTCTAATACTATCTACCCATGTAGCACATCTCTCTACCTGCGAAGTGTGAAAGCTTATCGTTCCTCCATCAGGTTTTCCATCAGGCTGCATCCTATTTTGAAGAGTATATGTATTTCTGTACCCAACCATCCTATGGGCTAATGCTCTTTACGCTTTCTTAGCTACAAGACATTTAAACTAAGTCTCTGGTCAATGGATGCTTGAGGTATTGCTGCAAAACAGCTGCATGAAGAGCAGCACTCACTATTAACAAGCTGAGACAAATAATGTTCCATTAGCCATGCAATGGGCAATATAAAAGAGGCTGTGCTAACATATGACACTGTACAGCAGGGGTGTCAAACTCAATTTCATTGAGGGCCGCATCAGCATTGCGGTTGCCCTCAGGGGGCCAGGTGAGTGCGGCCAGGGTGGGTGTGGCCTACTGGGTGGGTGTGGATGGAGTGGGTGTGGCCTACTGGGTGGGCATGGCCAGCTCTACATCGTTCGCGTCAAGGGGGCCTGTGGGGGCCTGGGCAGGAGTGGGACAGATCTGAGGGTCTCTGGAAGAAGGGGGTGGGACCGGGGCAAGCGCCAAGGCATGGTGCATTTCTTTATTCCTCACAAAGGGTGACATCTCCCCAGCATGCACCCAGGGGGTGGGTCCGACACGGCAGGGGCTGGTTCCTCGCTGTTTCCGGACGGCCTTGTGGAGCTAAGACCGAATGCATTTCAGCATAGATGGCCACCACAAAATTGTACATTGGCTCCTGGCCAGCCTGGGCCAGGGCCATGGCAGCGAGGGCCGTTCCCTCACTGTTTCCAGGATGGCTTCGCAGGCCACATGAAACCACTTCGCGGGCCGCATCCGGCCCCCGGGCCTTGTGTTTGACATGTCTGTTGTACAGTAATAGCAAAATGAACTGAAGTCAATTTTGCCCACTGCATAGCTCAGACAGAGTCCCACCCGAAAACTTTTCTTGGGAAGTCACAGAGATAATAGCAATAGCAATCTATTCTGTTATTCTGTAATTCTGTAAAGCGTCTCTCCAATGGCCATCCACTTCCTTGGCTTCCCATACTTTCATTAAAACCCACGAGAAGATATAACGGAGGAACTCCTAACAGCCCTATTTAGATTGGGGATATATGGCATCTGAAGAAGCTTCCAAGAAATGAAAAGGGGAAAAAAACAGTGTAACAGATTTGCAACTTCCATCACTTCCAAGAAGTTAGCTAGCTCATGAACACCACGAAGAGAATAGAAAACCAGATCTATTTCACATTATATATCAGGATATACCACAGCATTAATTTAATGTTAATTGAAACTTAGGACTTGCTTCTAGTCATGGAAAAGGGGAACAGGAGACGGATCCTGAGGACTTTTTCCAGTTCCCCTCAATGAATCTTCATTACCTTGTGTAGGCATTAGGTGACCATTCTAATGTACATATTATCACTCATTGGTAGCTAACATCTGGTGAAAATCTTCAAATAGGAATCTACAGATGTGAATCTATGAATGAAAACATTTGAACTGACTAAATGAAATCTGGAAACCCTATCACTTCCTCTTCCTTCTCCTCATCACACGTCCATCAGTTTCAGCACTTGGCCTCTTTTAAGATGCAGCCAAGACCTCTATTTATTTAAGCTTATTTTTTTTTTTTAAAAAAAAAAGGATGTATGGAATCCTTTTATAAAGGATTATTGAAAAGCCTGCTGTAAATAATGAAGGCTCACGAGAGAAAAGTTTACAATAATGATGGGTTTCAACTATCATCACATTCTACCAGTAAAAACCAGAAAGGCTAAACCTCCATTTTCTTTGGCTTAGCTTTACAAACAGTCTTCAAAATGAGAGAAAAAAAAACCTCACTACTTTTCTAATTTAAATAATTTTAAAAAGACTTTACAAACACACATTATATGAAATTCAGGACACGTGCGAGGGGGCACATATGCCGATCTCCAGGGGCAGAAGAATTTAATTTTAATTTTAACATATTATTTTGGCATATTTTGGAGAGTCGCTCAGTATTGCTACATTTTATAAAAGCTGATAGCACCACAGACAATTTGGATAAAAAAGCAATGAAGTAGAAACTAGCTTTGATGCACTGGAAATAGAACAAATTCCTATATTTTCATCCTTAAATCGCTTATCTTTTCCAGAAGGATACATTACTCAATCCAAACCCAGAAAAGGATTCGGTGTGGCTCTTGAGATGTTGTCGCTTACAAAAGTAGGAAAATTAAATATAGAGAAGTGCAGTAGGAAAGCTCAGCCTGACTTAGGGCATTATCTACCTCAGTTCTGTGAATGATCTAAATGAGAGAATGCTTAAATATCTCCAAGTCAAAGAGGGCTAAAAAAGAAAACATATTTTTTTTTACTTTTAGGAAGCTTGTCTTAATATTTAAACAAAAACAGCTTTCTGGCAATTCCCACACATGGGTTTGAATCTTGCCTTCAAATCTATTGCCTACAATCCCTAGATATGTAGTTCCTGTATTGGTTGACTTAAGCCAGGGATACGGAACTATGGCCTTTTTATGGCTTGTGGACTTCAACTCCCAGAATTCCTGAGCCAGCCAGGAATTGCTGTCTCAGGAATTCTGGCAGTTGAATCCACAAGTCATAAAGGGGCCATAGTTCCACACCTCTGACTTAAGCAAAATGTCTAGCAATACATTTATCAAAGGATGTCAGACCTAAACAGAGTTAGTATAGTCTTCAAAATTCTTTTGAGAGGAGGCAGAGAGGGAGAAAATGAATGAATGAATGAATGAATAAATGAACGAAAGAATGAATGAATGGATATTTGGATCACCAGAGATTTCCATATAGGCATCACTAACATCCTTCTCTGCTCTTCCCTCTTCATGAAAAGGTCACCACTCAATCTTTCTAGAGCTATTCTGGAACAAAAATCACCCATGCAAAATATTTTCTGGCAGGTCGAGTCTTCGAATAGCCAGAAAACCATTGTGACACTTTTGAAGCTAATAATTCAAACATGTTTTGGCTGCCATGTTTTCCTTCCCCCCCCCCCAATAATTGACAAATTCTGCTGGGAAGAATCTGAGGTTTGAGCTGCAACACCAGACCCAGCCCAAGAAAATTCAAACGCCAGATGAATTGGCAGGAAATAGCAAACTTTACCAACAGTCAGGAAAATGCATCAGGGATTTAGTTTCCATATCAGAAAAAAAAAGAAAAGAAAAATAAAGCAAACTCACATGGGTTCTTCAGACACAATTCTAGTCTCTTCCATTTCATGGGCTTGCTTGAACCAAGGCAATCTGGCTTCAATGGGGCTTTTCTCTGGAACAGGAAATACATGCATGTCAGTATGGAGGGAATGCAGTACAATAGGGGTCTTCAAACTTGGCCCTTTTATGACTTGTGAACTTCAACTCCCAGAATTCCTTAGCCAGGCAGGCTGGCTGAGGAATTCTGGGAGTTGAAGTCCACAAGTCATAAAAGGGCCAAGTTTGAAGACCTCTGCAGTACAAAGATGATGCCAGGGACATAAGGCTTGTATGAGAGAAGAACGAGGGGTGACATGATAGCAGTGTTCCAGTATCTCAGGGGCTGCCACAAAGAAGAGGGAGTCAAGTTATTCTCCAAAGCGCCTGAAGGCAGGACAAGAAGCAATGGATGGAAACTAATCAAGGAGAGAAGCAACCTAGAACTAAGGAGAAATTCCCTTACAGCTAACTAATCGGTGAAACAACTTGCCTCCAGAAGTTGTGAATGCTCCAACACTGGAGGCTTCAAGAAGAGGTTGGACAACCATTGTCTGAAATGGTATAGGATTTCTTGCCTGAGCAGGGGGTTGGACTAGAAGACCTCCAAGGTCCCTTCCAACTCTGATTATTCTATTTCTATTTCTATTTCTATTATTTCTATTTCTATTATTTCTATTATTTCTATTTCTATTTCTATTTCTATTTCTATTTCTATTTCTATTTCTATTTCTATTTCTATTTCTATTTCTATTTCTATTTCTATTTCTATTTCTATTTCTATTGTTAGGCAGCCATATACATTTTCTAAGGAAATAGAATATTCCAGTTACCTTTGGGTTTATGACAAGGGACTGGCACTAGACACTCTTCTTTTATGTGGAGTTTTAACTGAGGATTACAACCACCAGTATGCTGTCCGCCGTGATCAATACACAGAACCACTCGGTAGCGTAATCCTTGGCCACAGGTCACGGTGCACTGTAGAAAGATATATATCAGTCAAAAACTAAGATGGCTAACAAATGTCACAATATTGCTATGCTGCCCTTTGTACCATCCATGGTGTCTGGCATTCATAAACCTGGTTATCAGAATGTTTTGTCATCTTTCTGATCAAGAAATTAGAATCTTCCTTCTGCAAGACCTAACTTGGGTCAACCACTATCAAGATTGCCAGCTGTTAGGAGAAAAGGGTCAGGGGCATACGTTAAGTTGCAGTTCAGAAAGGGGTTTTTTTGCTCGAGCCTATACTCAAGAATCTAGTCAACTAAAGTTCAGTACTAAATTGGTGCCAGATAAGGATCAACAGAGTTCAAGGGGAAGTGGATTTGGAGCATTTGTGGCAATGAAACAATTCTAGGCTGATGATGCACTTAACTCCACCACCACCCAGGTGGTGCCAAGATGATTGGCAGTTCCCTCCCTTCCCTCCAGGACATAGCATAGTAGCATTGCTTGAGCAGGATCCGTAGGATTATCTGGGACACTACACATCCTCTCCACGACCTGTTTTCCTTGTTTCCTTCTGGGAGGAGGCTTCGTGGTATCCATAGCAGAACATCCAGATTCAGCCACAGTTTCATTCCATACAGCATTAACCTTGTAAACTCTCAAGCTTCCTCCATCCGTTACATATTAAGATGGATAGTATTTAATATTTATTTGCTATGTATATGTAGGGGTGTGGGTCTATACATATGTTGTACATAGTATGTTTTAGGTGTGTGTCATGTATGTGTTTCACTTTGAGAGCAGGCAACTAAATTTCATTTTTGATGTGTGCCGTTGTGCCCACAGTAAAAAAATGACAATAAAGCTTATCTTATCATCTTATCTTATCTTATCTTATCTTATCTTATCTTATCTTATCTTATCTTATCTTATCTTATCTTATCTTATCTTATCTTATCTTATCTTATCTTATCTATATAATGTGTCATCAATCATCCCAACCATTGGCTACATCTGAAAGCTTCCCCGCCCCCCTAAAGAACTTTAAATATTCTGCTTCCTTACCTGTGACCACTCCAGAGCTATCCACTTGGGGCAATCGTATAGGTTGCAAGCCTGCATGACCCTGGGTTTAGGAGCATACATACATTTCCATTCGTCTACTTGCAATATCTCCCCATGCATGGTCTCTTCTACACAGACAAAGCTTCTCCTCTGAATTCCTCCTCCACATGAAACTGAGCAAGTGGTCCAAGGATTGTGCTCCCAGCTGTTTGAATGAAATAACAGCATCCCAAGAAGAGTAAATTGAATTTCTATCTGGTTTTCAGATGCAAGCGATAATGAAAATAGTAGACTGCTTTTTCCCTTGGCCATGGAGACTTAACCATGTGCAAAATATTTCTGTTTCAACCAGATGCAAATCTAAAGCGACGATTCTGGACACGGAGCTTGAAAAAAAAGTTTGTTTTTAAGTTTGAGGCATTTCCCTGATAGTCCAGACAGCCTATTCCGGACACAAAACACTCCATTTTCAATTCAGATTTCAGCATTCTGAACACACAATGGTTATGTTAAAAAAAATGTACACCCTTAAGATGTAAAACCTCTGGTAGTAAGACTTGTGACTGAATCCCAACAGCATAATTCAATTTTATGTGAAAATTTTATACAGGTAGTAATCAACGTAGGACCATAATGGAGTCTCAGATTTCTATCATAATGACAGTCAATTTTGCCCACTGCATAACTCAGGCAGAGTCCCACACGAAAACTTTTCTTGGGAAGTCATAAAGATAATAGCAATGGCAATAGTGCTTAGACTTATATACTGCTTTTCAGTCGTCTCTAAGCAGTTCACAGAGTCAACATCTTGCCCCCCAACAATCTGGCTCCTCATTTTATTGACCTCAGAAAGATGGAAGACTGAGTCAACCTTGATCTGGTCAGGATCGAACTCCCGGCAGTGGGCAGAGTCAGCCTGCAATACTGAATTCTAACCCCTGCGCCACTATGGCTCAGTTTGATCAGAAATCCAATCCCGGAGAAATGGAGCATAAATCCAAAAGGTACTTTCAAGTAACGGCTCCCAAAGATGCCAAAAGGCAGAGCAAGAATGTTCCTTGTCTGAAATGATTCATAAAACTCTCCCCTTGGAATAAATTAATCACATCATTCACAAACCGAACACGAAACTTGCTGCATGTTGAGTGTTGACATTTCAACCGAGTTTCCATGATCAAAACCAGACAACGCGTGAGAGCTTAGAGCTAATGGTTTCACCATCACCCCCTGATAAATACGCTCATCTGCTCTTATCGTTTCGTTAGCTTAACTGTGGGAATGATTGATGAGATATAAAACAACTGAAAGGCTCGTTTTTAAAGTGTTCCACTACTAGTGGCGCATTGCATTTAGAGTAGAACCTTCCAAATTAACTCAGCAGAAACCCTGGGGCAGAGATGCAGGCTGCAAGAACCCATAAGGGACCACTAAAAAAAATGACAACTCCCTCTGAACAAGCTCTTCTATTTTAACAGGTATGAAAAATTAACTTGTGTTCGATTGTGCATTGCCCAATAACCTTGGTCCAAATGTCCTTTCTTGGAAAACATAAATGGTTTTGTGGTTTGAAGAATGTTTATTGATGTGTCCTCTGGGTATAATTTCCATCGAAAACCTATCTCCCCCTCAAATGAAAGCAAATGAAAGAACAATTAACCAATGGAACAGCTTGGCTCGGGGAGTTGTGAGTACACCATAGCTGGAGGTTTTCAAGAAAGGATTGGACAACCATTTATCCAGATTGATATAAATTTTCCTGCCTTCAGCAGGAGGTTGGACTAGAAGACCTCCAAGGCCCCTTCCAGGCCTACGTTTCTTTTCGATTCCATGATCCCAACTGAGCTCAAGCTTGTAGGCGTGAAACTTGAGCTATGGAACAAAGCCAAAGAAATCTGTAAAATCTAGTGTGTTCTTTTGACACCAAGATGAAGATATATTTATTTCTTTCGGCTTGCAATTTCAGTTTCTGCTGTTTTTAATTCTGTTTCTGTTTTGAGGGTTCCTTTGTCTTGTCTTTGAGGTAAATGATAATTGTTTCTGAAGCTGTACTTTTACACTGATGGGTTTTTGTCTCCGCAAGCCACTTTCACAAAGCAGCCTTGTAATCTTTTTAGTCAACGAATGCGCAAGTATTTACAATGCCAGGGTACACTATGCTAATATAGCCTGTGAGAAGAGACAGGGATAAAGGTTTATATTCAGAAAGGATCATGCACCTCGGTTCCAATTTACATGGAAGCTGGGACATGACCACTGAAGTAAAGACAAGGATAGAGAAAGCTCGAACAGCATTCTTCAAAATGAAAAAGGTCTTCTGCAGTCACGACATAAGCCTAAGACTGAAAATCAGAAGCATTTGAAATGTGGATTTACAGGTGACTGTTACGTATAAACTGGGTTGACAAGATCAGAAATGAGGTGATAAGCCGCCTGGGAAAGCCAAGGGAAATCATCAAAACAATTAAAAAATGAAAATTAGAATATTTTGGACATGTGATGCGACACCCAGAAAAATACGGCCTACTCCATTTAATCCTCCAGGGAAAGATTGAAGGCAAACGAGGTCCAGGCAGAAGAAGAACATCGTGGCTTCAAAATCTAAGGGACTGGTTTGGACAAAACTCAGCCGCACTTTTTTGTGCAACTGCTGCTAAAAACAGGATCGCCAACATGATCGCCAACATCCGATAACGGATATGGCATTAGCAGAAGAAGAAGAATTCAGAAATACATTGGTTTCCCACATTAGTTTCAGGCTTGGAGAAAGTGCTCAGCAGTTGTTCTCAAAATGCCTAGTTCAATTTTAAATTCCCAGCTTGCTATTCGAATGGCACTGCAGGATCATTAAAAGAGCAGGTGGATCCCTATCCTTTAAGACAGGAACGTCTAAGCAGGCATCTGTACTGGTGGGAACTGGTGAGCACTGACATCGAAATTGAAAACATGACAGGAGTCTGTATTAATGGTTCCTGCAGGGGAACGTGCAAATAGTAGTTGACAGATTATTATTGTGCATAATATATAGCTTTCTAGTAGCAAGTTCATAACCAAATAGTAGAGATCTTAGATGCAGTCAGTAGTCTGCAGCGACATAGACACGAAACACTTCAGATGTTTTAAATCTTGATTAGGAAGTAAAGAAAATTTACCCGTCAAATGCAGCAATGAGATTTGAATATGCCGTAATGCACTGTGGATGTGTGTATAGTGTAGGTTTCTACATCTGCATTTTTTTACTTCATCAGTTCAAAAAGTCATGCTCGATCCCCAATTCCTGGGAGAAGATGACCTTCAAGGTCCCTTCCAACTTTACTATTATTATTATTATTATTATTATTATTATTATTATTATTATTATTGTTGTTGTTGTTGTTGTTGTTGTTGTTGTTGTTATTATTATTATTATTATTATTATTATTATTATTATTATTATTATTATTATTATTATTATTATTATTATTATTATTATTACAGGGATAGCAAAAGGAGCTTCTGGAACAGTGCATAAGATGGTTTTTTTTTTCCCCAGAGGCTGGACTGGTCAAGGTCTGCTTAGCACTCCAGAAAGTTTTTTAAACTGTAAAATCTTTTGGAAGGACTTTAAAGAAACATGTGTATACAGTATGTGTAAGGATGCAGAACTGGGAGGGGACCTGTAGTGTGGGAATTTTTTTTTTTCTCTCCAAGATTTCTCCATCTGTTTAAAGATTCCATTGATGCATTTGCAGCCTGAGTTATGGCTGAGGTCATTCAAGATCCTCTGCATAGGCTGACTTCCATCTCTTATCCCAAGTCGCTCATTGGGCCAATGAAGCCGGCATTTTGCTCTACCGCAGGGGTCTTCAAACTTGGCCCTTTTATGACTTGTGGACTTCAACTCCCAGAATTCCTCAGCCAGGCACGCTGGCTGAGGAATTCTGCGAGTTGAAGTCCACAAGTCATAAAAGGGCCAAGTTTGAAGACCCCCTGTTGTAGAGAGCATGCAATGAACCTATATTCACTTGAACCGGCGTGACTCCTAATGTCCTCCACTTGACGATCTCCCTTCAGCCACTTCCTCCCCAGAAGCAAGGCAAGCCTAGTTAGTAGTTTCACTCCTCCCCTTAACTCAGTGCCAGGTTCCACCACAAGGTCCTTTTCACTAGATTGAACTAAGAATCTTCTACCTGCAAGATAGATTGTCAGGAACTCACCTTGGGCTCAAATTCTACGGGGAAATGGCTACATGGCTGGCTGAGGAATTCTGGGAGTTGAAGTCCACAAGTCATAAAAGGGCCAAGTTTGAAGACCCATGCTCTACTGGATCATAAAGGAAGCTTCCATATGGTTCTACCGTTTACCAGCATTTAGAACTTAAAGGGAGGAGAGGATGCAGTCAAATCGAAGCCAACTCCTTTGTCTTCGTTTCTGCTCTATCCCTGGAATTCTACCTGCCAGGTGGGAATTCTGCAATACAATAACTGAAGGTATCTGAGGACCTGGGAGGAACCTACTGTGGCTTCATAAGTAGTGAATAAATGAAATCAAGTCAAGGAGAAATGGGTTCCTGCAACTTTGAAAGAGAGTATTCTCTCTAGCCATGGGGAAACCACCAAGTCATTACTCCTGATCTAGCTCCTTCCGTCCTTCACTTACTGTGGAGTAAAAGTAAATAGAGATATTTACTTGATTCTAATTTTTAGAGTTCTTCTGTGTTATTATGCAACACAGAGGTTTTTTTTAAAAAAAGAGGGAAAACCCCACCCAAATCACAAAATGGACGAGACAGCCATTGACAATGCAATATGTTATCTCTTTCCATAGGTAGAAATCTAAGAATTATCCCAACTGAAATTTTACCAAATTCAGGATTCATTGCAGATCATTTGGGGAGTTGTCTTTATTTAGCCAGCTTCCATATTGTACTCAGCCATTAGGCATATCTTGCTAATGGAATACCTGCTCTTAAGTAGACACGTGGATTAATGTATTTAAATGCCCTGTGCTCTGGAGTGACTTTATCTCAACAACCAAATGTCACAGACGGTCAAATTCAGACATTACCATCTATGGCAACAATAAATTCCTTGTCTTTGTCTTGAGTGAGCAGGAGATTGTATGTATGAAATTATAAACTGCAGTAGGCTATCAATGGAATGCTAATATCCTGTATCTTGTAAGCGTCGTACATACATACCGGGGAAGTGGCTGGAAATGATCATAGGGCATGATTTCCTTAAATCCATCACTGTGAATAAAGCAGAGGCATTTACAAAGTTATTTGCCAGATGCCAGATTACAATTATCCATTTGATGTATTCCTTTATGAACAAAACGCACACCAAACTTGGGAAAACAACTCAGTGGTACAAGGGGTGTTCTCTTCTTGGCTGTCGTACCTTAATTGTTGAAGTTAATTTTCCCAAGGAGGTAAGTAAGGAAACCAGTTAGCTAACAAAGAGGAATATAATTCCGGGACTTTTTGTAAAAACACAAAATTACTGCAGCAGTAATTCTCCTAGTCCCTGAGAAGAGTTGGTGGGGTGGGCGAATGGGGGAGAGGTCTGGAAGCTGATTTTACTTTAGAGATTATGACATCCACAATTAACTCCTTGTGCCTGAATAGAACACATTTACAATCTCCTCCATTATTAGCTGGGATAGTGGAGCTACAGCAGAGAAAAACATATATCCAGAGCCCCGGATATTAACCACCTGAAGTTAGGGTCTTTGTTGCCTCTTATAGAAGGAGCTGCTTCCCAAATACCATTGTGAAGTGTTTTTATACTTTCGGTCCCTTTTCAGAACTCAAGTTTTCCACCAATATTACTGTGATTCCAAAATTCTGGCTCAGGAATTCTGGGAGTTGAAGTCCACAAGTCATAAAAGAGCCAAGGTTGACTACCCCTGATCTAAAGGATAAGTCCCACAAGACTGGAAGCTGGGCATTCCAACCCTTCGACTTGAGTCTGGTCCTAATAACTATGAGAAGAAGTAACGTGAAACGAAGTAGAACATTCACACACACCCCCAAGAATTTTACCACCTTCAGCTGTATAATTCTGCAATATTAATGGCAAGTCCTCATATTACACACTTCCCCACCCTTTGATAAAGCTCTCATGAAGCTACTGAAAGTTTAACTGTTCGAAGCACTGGCTGCTGCCTGTAACTCTCAGGAATGAAGGCAAATATATGTGTCCCTGGATAATGTTGCAGGATCCAGTCTGAGTTGGCCACCAGGACCAAAGCTTTATTCTTCTTCCAAGCTTTCAGTCTCACACAGGAGCTCCAGAATGTGTGCACTGGGCTGTTCTATGTGTTGTATTTATATGGTGCCTAGTTGTGTGTGGTCATCAACCTGGCCATCAACACCCTAATTCAGTGGTGGCGAATCTATGGCACGAGTGCCAGAGGCGGCACTCAGAGCCCTCTCTGTGGGCACATGCGCCATTGCCCCAGCCCCGCCTCCCCCCATGGCCCCCTCCTCACCAGCAGCCCCCCAGAAGGAAAGTCACCCACGAGCACAGCCCGCACGGAGCAGCACAGCCAAGGACATGGCAGCCAGGCAGTGGGAACAAGACTCCGCCCTCGCACCCCATCGCGCACAGTTGATGCTGTGGGGTACGGGCAGAGGACATGGCCACCATGGCACTGCTGGGACACCTGGGCGATCTGCAATGGGCCATGGAGGCGATGGGTGGCCCTGCGGGTGGATGGGGCAGGGATGGGGCGGGGCAGGGGGGCAGGGGCGGAGTGGGAGCCAAGTGGGGGCAGGGCAGGGGCGGTTTTGGGGCACTCAGTCTCTAAAAGGTTCGCCATCACTGCACTAGGCTGTTCTATGTGTTGTATTTATATGGTGCCTAGTTGTGTGTGGTCATCAACCTGGCCATCGACACCCTAATGAATAACTAAAAGCCACACACAGGCAGGCACCATATAAATACAATGTGTAAAACAGCCCAGTGCACATATCCTGGAGAGAGAGACGTTCCCTGAGGATGGGCTGCAGTACGAACTTGAAAGCTTGAAAGAAGAATAAACCTTTGTTCCCAGTGACCAACTCAGATTGGATCTTCCCGAGAGTTTGCGTAAACCATTTATGCCCTGGATCCCAGCTTTGCGAGGATGGGCCTGCAGGAAGGATCTGGGAAGCTCTGAGCAGCTGAGCGTTTGAGATCTCCCGACCGAATGATTTTATTCAACTGGGATCAGAAGAAAAGGACAGTTCAGTTATAAGAAATAAAATCCACCCTAAGCGTTTCCCCTTTTATTTATTGGAAATATCAGCCATTCTGCCAGCTGGCATCTCAGGTTTTGGGCTAAATATTGAATGTTATTTTAAGATACTTTTGCAGAGCCAGGAAGCAGCACCAGACGGTCCAAGGGCCAGCAGCCTTAAATGTCATTGTGCAACTCAATATGTACACTGCAGCTGCTTTAGGAACTTGGCAGAAGCCAGATGTGGTCACTGTGCTACAAGCGGCTTTCTTTCGCCTTGCACAGAGTTGGAGTCCGTTACCCTTAAAATAGTTGGAAGCTGTCAGAGGTTGATCCAAAAGGAATGGAAGTCATGTGATCCCTTGGCATCCAGTAGGCCAATTACTCCCAATGAGCAAACTGGGAAAATCAGAATGCCTTGAAGAGGAAGGACAAGGGATGGTGTTTGTTGTGTCCTGAGCCTGCAGAAGCAGGCTCGGGATGATGCAAGAGTCCCGGGCATTGCAAAAGCTGCCCGGGACCAGACTGAGTGGCGCCGGCTTTGCGCGCATGCGCGAGGCGGGAAAAGACTGCCTGCTATTGGTTGAGATTGCCCGGGGATCTGGGGGTATAAAAGGAGGCCTGCGTGCCTCTGCTCTTGTTGGTTGGTAGTTGTCACAGAGTGAGAATAAAGATCTGTTCAGTAACATGAATTGCCTCCTTCGCCATTATTCTCCGGACTTAACAGTGTTGGTGGAGAGTTTAGCATCTTGGATTCGTCAGTTGTTCTCTGGATTCTGAAGGTGGGGAAAATGAGGGGCAGGGGGGTCTGGCCCTGAGGCAATGACCTCTCTTTCTTCAGCAGCATTCATGGAGGTCAGAATGTACCAGGATGCTCAGGCATTGCCCACAATTCAGGGGACGGTGACCTCGAGACATTTTTCCACACACAATCATATTTATTTTGTCTGAACAAGATCATACCATGGTGGAGCCTCATTCTGATAGGCGCTATCCCCACCTAATGATGTTTTTAATTATCCTCACTGCATCTCCCAGTTGGAGAAGTCAGTATTTTATCCTTGCAGTTCTCCAGCAAGAATCTTCACCTCAGACCGATTGGTGTTTAAGTTTAGAGCAACCCCACAGGAACAAATTTAAAAAGAAACACCCAAGAACATGAGTACATAAATACAAGAACAACAGCTGTCAAATCATTTCTATATTTAAAAAATAAAGAAGAGGGGAGGGGAGGGGGAAAGGGAGAGGGAAAGGAGAGGGAGTGGGAAAGGAGAGGGAGAGGGTGAGGAGAGGAAAAGGAGTGGGAGAGGGAGAGGGAGAGGGAGAAGAAGAGGAAGAGGGAGAGGGAGAGGGTGAGGAGAGGAGAAGGAGAGGGAGAAGAACATAATAGAATAGAATAGAATAGAATAGAATAGAATAGAATAGAATAGAATAGAATAGAATAGAATAGAGTAGAGTAGAGTAGAGTAGAGTAGAGTAGAGTAGAGTAGAGTAGAATAAAGTAGGAGTAGAGACAGAACATTGCATATACTGAGAGCTCAGCCCATCACTGCCCTTCTGAGTGATGGCCACTTGGCTAGTTATAAATAAAAAGGAATTAGCAAGGACTTGGAAACTAAAATGCCAACCTCCCATTTATACATTGGAATACCAACCTTGAAGGGCAGGGATCCATGTTACATTCTTTCAGCTTTGGTTTGGGTTTCTTGTTTTCAGGATAATAATGGCAATACTGATCTGGCACCACCCGCTTGGAACGGATATCCACACATTCTACCGAGTTCAGCTGATAACCTAGAATGGGGTGAGAGTAGGCCATATTTGATTATCAACTAGGCATAATTATTCAGCCACCGATTTCTCCTTGCAATGCCTCACGCCTCCTCTCTTTGTCTTTTTTCACTAGCTGTATCTTACGACACTGACAAACAGGGTGGCATACCGTCCACCACCACGTAATACATTTACACAGCCATGTGATAACAACAGCTGCTTCCCTTTTCGGTTACACACTCCCTTCCCGTCAACAACGCACATTTCCACCTGCTCTGATTCCCCCCATGATGACAACTGAGCCCTTGGAATGTGCATCAACTTTTTGTAACCCTCTCAGCAGTGGAATCCGGTGCTTTGGGAAGACACAATCCCATCACCTTTCCGTCAACAAGGATCCAAGTTTTTAAACATGGATGCCTACATATTGATTCCATTTATGGGGGTTATGACAATCCATATAGGAAAAAAAAACCCACAACTCTTTTTATCAAAGGTGGATGCAGACAACCTCTGGATGCCTGGTTTTAGCAAGCTTTTATCCACATGTCAGACCTTAACGAGAAGAAAAATAGAGCACCAGGCTTACTTCGTTCAATAGGAAAGACAAGACTTCTCCCGATGCTAGATTAGACTTCAAATCTAGTGAGATTTTGGCCAAAATAATGTGCAGAGAACTTTCAGAGTACAAGGAGGCCTCAACTTAAACAAACGCAATTTGGACCAGAATTTCTGTGGCTAAGCAAGGCAGTTATTAAGTGAGTTGCGCTCAATTTCATGCGCTTGGTTTTGTTGTTTTTTTTTGCATGATTGTTAAGCAAATCAGTGCCGTTGTTAAATGAAATATAGGGGTTGTACACAAGGTTATTCTTGTTATTAGCATAATGACAGCCATTTTGCTTCTGTACACTGTGCTTGCATGAGGGACGCCATTTTGTGAAGGCAGGAAGATCACGTACACAGACCCAGAGACAGGGAAAAGAGCGGGAAAGTAATGAAAGATGATTGGTTAACATTCTGTGTGCCAACAAGTGTCACCTTGTGATTGGTTGTTATCTGTATATAAATAGAAGTGCCTAACTGACCACTGTGTGGCACTTCTGAATGCAGCTGCCAGTGTTTCAGACAGTGTTCCACCCAGCAACTTCAATTGACCAAATAAAGTTCTGTTTGACCTGGAAGGCTCCGCTTGAGTCTCCTGATTTGACCCCTTGGAACCTCACGCTAAACGCGTGGCTGAAAGTCAAGGAAAACCTGTATAGAAAATATTCTGTTTACTTATTTTTCATTCCTCTTCCTTCTCAAAACCTCATTCATCCCGATTATATTGACGGAACTCTTAGCAATCCTTTAGGCTAACAGAGGGAGATTAGAATATCTCCCTCCACATCAGTTTAGTAGATGAGAATTCAAGAATCCATTTCATCTCCTTTCAAAACCTACTATACGTTAAAGAAACAGGCATGCCGTTCCCCTGAACTTCCTCTCTGTGGCTTGGAGGTTGAATCTCTGGGCAGCTCCTAAAATCTCCTGCAAGCTTCACTCCTAATAACGTAGAACTTGCAAAAAGAAAAAAAAAAAAAGGGAAGAGAGTAGAATCCAGGAGTAAAAATCTTGGACGTCTCTCTGAACCTCTTCCATAGCATGATGTCTAACATTTGCACACAGCTTACCATGCTATACTGACATGCTTCACAGAAATGTATCATTGGCAGATTTTCCCTGTGGCTTCAGGCAACACCAAAAGTAATTAAAACTGGAAGCCACAATCACTGAAAAGGAGAGCCAAACCCACCACTCGGCCCAGCCCTGCAAAACCACAAATATTTTTAGCACGGCCCCTCCATGCTCAGCAACAGGAGGTGAAGACAAAGAAAACACAACTCTCAAGAAAGCCGCTGGCGCAAGGGATGGATCTGCGTAAGTATCCTAGGAAGCTCGGTGTGGTTTCCCTGGATGACAATTAAGGAGGGGGCAGGAAGAAAAAGGAGCTTGTTCCTAAGGAAGGGCAGACTTCTTTGTACTGTGATGTGTGTGTGTGTGTGTGTGATTGTGTGTTGGTTTTTAAGTAAGCAAACAAAAAGGACCCCCCCCATAAGAACAAACTCCAATGTGGAGACAAGCATAGAGATCGGCCAAGGTGAAAAAGTCTGCAAGGTTACAAATCAAAGGTTTCTAATGAACACCTTTCCTTGTACAAAGCATCATCACACAACGGAATGCGAACCCTGGAAGAAAAACTGAGCATTACAACAATTTTAACGTCCTGCACCAAATCCCACTGAACAAGCAAAAAAAGCTAAAATGCTAAAAGGTAAATTCTGAACATTTCGACATTTATTTAAGCCCAGCTGCTTTTTTATGGGATGCACATGGCTTCTGAAATCCCTTTGGACTTCATGGCAGAGAATCGAAGTAGGCGAGAGAGAGAGAGAGAAGGCTGTTTTGAACAAATAATCCGCTGAATGATGGATGGCTGCTCATTTACTCCACCCCTCTCTCGGTTTTGTTTTGAAAATGATTGTCTCCAGAAAATATTTAAGTCATTTATAAGCCGGTGAAAGAAGCCAAAAGGGAATTTGACAATGGCTAAACAACCTTATGTCGGAAGCGTTTAGGCCAGGCAGAAACAGAACAACTTTTCTAAAGCACACTACTATTAAGATTAATGTTCAACCTATATTTTTGGCTCATTTCTTACTTAAAGAGAGAGAGCAAGAAGAAGGAAAAAAAAAAAAAGCAGAGGAAGAAATGGATTCTTTCGCAAGCCCAAGAGTGTTGCTTCTACGTTTTGGCTTTCGAAGCTGATATTACAAGTTGGATTGCAGTTTGCGTAGGTGCATGTATATCGCTACTCCTTGATGTACGACCGCAATCCAGCCCAAAATTTCTGTTGCTGAGCAAGACAGTTGTTAAACGAATGTTGCCCCATTTTACACACTCTGTGGCCACAGTTGTTCAGTGAATTACTGCAGTTGTTAAATTGGCCACGTGGTGGTTAAGTGAATCTGGCTTCCCCATTGGGACAGCTGTTAAGTCAGTTTTGCCCCCATTTTTCCACCTTTCTTTGCCACAGATATTAAGCAAATCATCGCAGTTGTAAAATTAGTAACATGGGTGTTAAGTGAATCTGGCTTCTCCATGGACTTGCTGTCAGAAGGTTGCACAAGGTGATCCCATGACCCTGAGACACGGCAACCGTCATAAGTATGAGTCAAAGCCACATGCATTACTCACCTCCTCCGCAGGTCACTGTGCAAGGGAAGAATTCGGTCTGTCTCCACTGGTGACTTATGGGTTGATAGAAGAAGAACTGAACCAGGCTATCTTTGGCAGCAGTATATCTGGCCTAGAGAGAGTCCCATTACAACACATTTGAATGCTGCATGTTGGCGATCCTTGGCCTGTCATTGTTTAATTCATGCACCCAAATGCAGTGCCGAAAGCTACATGACAACAGGCAAGGAGAAAAAAAAAAACCATGGGCAGAACCTATGTGCAACCTGGCCTTTGAGCCTGATCACTGAGTGACTTATACACACAAATAGGAATAGCAACAGCACTTAGGACTTATATACTGCTTCACAGTGCTTTACAGCCCTCTCTAAGTGGTTTACAGTGTCAGCCTATTGCCCCAACAATCTGGGTCCTCATTTTACAGACCTCAGAAGGATGGAAGGCTGAGTCAACCTTGAGCCGGTGAGGATCAAACTGCCAAACTGCAGACAGCCGGCAGTCAGCAGAAGTAGCCTGCAGTACTGCATTCTCACCACTGCGCCACCACGGCTCAATTGAGCACATTCTATCACTTTCTAAAGAGGGCAGAGTGAAAGACAGGACGAACAGGCAAGACCAAGTCAACAGACAGATAAGATGGGCTCGAACAGGCTCCTCCCTAGTTCACAAGAAGATAAAGTGAAGAAGGGGGAAAAACACATTCAGACTTGCAAGATTCTTCTAGAGTAAAAAATAGTTGATGTATATAGGATGTTGGTTTCTTAGTCTGTCCTACTTTGTTGCACATTCCTTTTACCTGCTGCGGTTGTCATTTGTTGAACAAAACATTTTCCAAATTAATTATTTCTCAGTTTTAAGGACCGCCCATCTCCCTCACAGAGGGACTTTGATTGGTGGACAACAAAATATAAAAGAAAAAAAAAACCATGAATGAAGGAGAATCTACGTGTCCCAGGATGATGTTGCAGGATCCAATATGAGTCGGTCACCAGGACCAAAGGTTTAGTCTTCCGAGCACGTGACCGACCCATAAAAAAACCGCACGCAAAATTTAAAAGAGGGAAAGTATGTTAAAAAAAATAATTAAAATATAGTGGAGGGCTGCATGCTCCTTTGTGCACCCCAAGCAAGGGGGCAAAGCCATGTTTTTATGTCTTTGTAGAAGGCGACGAGAGTGGGGGGTCAGCCTCATCTCTAGTGGGGGAGTGTTCCAAAGGGGCAACAGCAGAGTAGACTCTCTTCCTGGACCCTACCAATTGGAATTCTTTGGCTAACGGGATCCGCAACATACCTTTCCTGCTTGACTGGGTGGGACAGGCTGATGTAACAGGAATTTCCAGACAAAACCTTGGCACAGCACAAAGTACGTGCCTTACCTTGATAATGAAATCTGCTCCAAGAGGCCCTGGGATTTTTATTGTTTCTCTCTCTGGGCCCTTCTGAAATTCAACCGTTGTGTTTTCAATGATGTACATTCCAGGGGCATTAAAACCGTGTTCTCCGGTATCTCCCTGCAGTGTCTTTGATTCAATCACTGAAAAGCACAAGAGGAAAATACGCATTATCCTTTAGCAGATTATGATGAATTTATGCCAGGCAAAAGCAAAAAAGACATTGGCTTCTTGAAAGCAGAGCCTGCACCAAATGTTGTAAATATAAAACATAGATCATCGTATGCACTATTTATATCCGTACTATCCTGATGACATGGGATTAAAATGAGCAGTTCATCCAATTCCTTAGCACTGCGGCTCTTTCATAGAAGCCCAGATGATTTCCAGTATAATAAAAAAAATAACTAATTTATTGCTGGGATACAGTTAAGGAGAAATTCTGTTGGTTTCCATGGCTTGGCAGTAAAGCGGGTTTTAAGAAGATAAAGCATTTCATGGCATCATTTTAAAGTAATACCAAGAGAATTCCAGGAACACACAAATGCAGAGATTCTCTGGAAAAAAACAGTCCAGAAGAAACATCCCTACCTTTTTGATCCAAACAAGTGTTCCAAGTAAGAAGTCTGCTGTTTTACATGATACTCACAAATGCAAACTCTAATTTCAAGCATGCTGAAATTAGTGTTTCTGAACGGATCACAATTTGTATTCAATATGTTTTTTTTTTCTATCAGAATAGATAAGTTCTTTAGGCAGAGGTGGGCAAATCCATTATTCAATGCAGGATGGGAATTGTAAATGGGAAGCCCGGGGCACCTAATATCTCACAAGGCGGTAAAATTGCCTTTTGATCACAAACACACTCAGGCGTGAATAGGCACCAATTGCCTGCAAGTGTATTTATTGCTCTTAGTTCTTCCAGGCTGACACATACACTATTGATGTGGTCAAAAAAGCAGAAAGAGGATTCCATTAGCTGTTCAGATGTGGAAAAGAGGATCGATTAGTCATGTCTCAGAAGAATGTGCCCAAAAGAATAGCAATGTCACCTTTTCCTATGCAAAATAAATAACAATTGATAGTTTATTGGTTGGTGGGATTTTTCCAACCCAGATCAGATAGGCCAAGACTACACCTTGGTCTGCTTACGCATCTGGACAGCTTCAGCATTATCACCCAGATCACAATGCTCATTACTATAATCTCCCATTATAGTAAAGTTAAGGCTCTTTGCATTACAGCTTTCTGCAGCTGTACATTTGGTTTCCTTTGGGAAAACGATCGTTGGAAGATATGGTGTAATGTTGGCATTTATGTCAGCTAAGAGTCTCTTAAAGTCGGCAAACTTTAAGATGGGTGGACTTCAACTCAAGCATGGACTTCAGCTGGATGGGGAATTCTGGGAGTTGAAGTCCACCCATCTTAAAAGTTGTCAAGATCAAGAAATGTTGTTTCACAATTACACAGGCTATGCACAATGAGAGGAACAATTTAAAACTTTGAGGAAGCAGCCATAATCTGTTTTTCCTCCATCAGTTCCTAAGGGAAACAGTCTAAGATAGATATTAAGTGCCTGAACTTAGCATTTTACTTTTGTGTTTCTTCACAGACCTGAATTATATTATCTTAAGCTTATGCACCAGAGACAAATTTCTTGTGTGTCCAATCATACTTGGCCAATAAGGAATATTCTATTCTATTCTATTCTATTCTATTCTATTCTATTCTATTCTATTCTATTCTATTCTATTCCATTCCATTCCATTCCATTCCATTCCATCCATTCCATTCTTATTCTTTTCCAATTCTTATTCTATTCTATTCTATTCTATTCTATTCTATTCTATTCTATTCTATTCTATTCTATTCTATTCTATTCTACAATCTGTCTATTCTATTCTACTCTACTCTACTCCATTCCCTATTCCCTATTCCCTATTCCCTATTCCCTATTCCATTCCATTCCATTCCATTCCATTCCATTCCATTCTATTCTATTCTATTCTATTCTATTCTATTCTATTCTATTCTATTCTATTCTATTCTATTCTATTTTATTCTATTCTATTCTATTCTATTCTATTCTACAATCTGTCTATTCTATTCTACTCTACTCTACTCTACTCTACTCTACTCTATTCCATTCCCTATTCCCTATTCCCTATTCCCTATTCCATTCTATTCTATTCTATTCTATTCTATTCTATTCTATTCTATTCTATTCTATTCCCATCCTGCCTTCTGAACCAAACAAAACCTCGCTATTACCAATAGTGCAGGCCTGTCATTAAAGGCTCTTGTGTCCACTGAAGCTTGGGTCTGTCTTTGGTCTATCCTGGTCTTTCAGGTCTTCCAACTGGGCACCATCTTCACTGTAACTGAGTCCATCCACCTTACTGCCGGACATCCTCTTTTTTTCTTTCCTTTTCCCAGCCTTAGAAGCTTCTCCAGAGACCTCACCAAACAAGAAAAGCTATTTATGCCCCTCCTCCCCCAACAATAGGATACTTTGGGAATCTCATATCAAAATACACTATGAAAACATGGCCTCTTTGGCCAAGTCAAAGATGTACTTGAGTTCTGCCTTGACGAAACAAATGCCAAAAGCCCTAACAACCTCTGTGTACTCAAGCTATTGAATGTGCTCAAGCTGAATAATTCACAGCCCATAAACGCATGCACGAGTCTTACGTTTGCAATACCTTGCAAATATTCCAGCCATCACTTGTCTCAGCTTTACAAATTACTTTGAGGCGTCATATTCCCTGATCTTAAAAGGAAGGAAATAATGTAAGAGCCCAGGGAGAACCAGAGTATCTTTCTCTTGATAAAGGGTGCTGGTCCAAATTTATTTTTGGTCTAATTCCAATCAAAACAATGGTGTTGGGAAAGAGGGATAGAACTGGTCCTTCTCTGTCTAGACAGAAGTATATTCAAACCCATTTGTAATAAAGGAAGTCATTTGTCAGATGTCCTTTAAAAACAACAGGCATCATTTAAACAAGTCCTTGGAATCCTTCAGGAAATCTGGTAATATGTAAACAATAACAACCGCAGAAGCTTTCATGCATCAAATCATCCTTGTTAAGTCCCTTGTGAGGTAGGTTTGCAAATGGTGGTTAACAATAGCTTATATCCATCTGTAGGTAGTCCTTGACTTACAATATAACCACAGCTGGGCCCAGAATTTCTGTCACTAAGCAAGGGGGTTGTTCAGTGTATGGCATCCAGTTTTGCAATCTTTTTTTTTTTTGACACAATTGTTAAGCGAATCACTGCAGAATCATGCCGTCATTGACGTGGCTTCTTGGAAGCTGTCTGGGAAAGCTGTAAATGATGATGACGTGACCATGGGGATGCTGCAACGGTCATAAGGGTGAAAAAGGGCCATAAGTCACATTTTCAGTGCCGTCGTAACTTTGAACAGTCACTAAATGAATGGTTGTAAGTCAAGGAGGATGTCATGGTTCCGACAGATGAAACTCTTCAAAGAACTTCGAGGCATTGTTTACCTTAAAGAATCTTTATGGGAGTAGCATAGCTTCGCCACCAACATAGTTGAAGCCAAAAACTGGATTCCCCTCCCCAGAGCACATAGTATCAAAGCACAATTTCCTCCTCCAATTAACAGTCATGAATCACATTCTCCAACTAGTTTGAAATGCAGGCTTTCCCTCCTGTTCTGCAACCGCCAATTCTTATCATCTCTTATTTCAAGCTCTGAATTCACATACTAGTACAATATTGTTATGTCTAGCTAACTCCCACCACATTCCGCCTCCTCCCCCAGCATCATCTAATTCTCAGAGTAAAGCATAAGAAAGAAAAAGGCTGCATCTTCATAGGTTGTCAAAGCAAGAACATCCAAGGTTAGCAGCGTTGACAGAGTACCTGTAATATTTTTCCAAGGTATGGCATCATCAGTTCCAGAGCTGATCTACAACATCAGTTCTTCTCTACTCTCGCTTGCTCTGTCTGTCAATACCAATTTCCCTGAGGAATGAGCATCAAGCACTGGGCTATGAGTCCTATGCTGTGTGTATAACTATTTCTTCAAAAAGGAAAGTCATATTTTATGGATGGCATTTACCACCTGCGAGGTTAGCAAAAATGTTTAAAAATATATCTAGCAATTGTTGGAAATGTAGACAAAAGCCAGGCACATATTACCACCTTTGGTGGACATGCCCCAAAGCAAAAAAATTCTGGTCAAAAATACATATGTGGTTAGAGAAAAAGCTAAGAAAACACATAGATTTTAAGCTGGAATTATTTCTATTAGGTATAACCTCAGAAAACTATGATAAAGAATGTGTATATTTAACGTTATGTGTATTAACAGCAGCAAGAATTACATTTGCACAGCATTGGAAAAATGAAGAAACGCCCGCTGAAGAAGAGATAATTAAGAAAATTTTGGACTGTGCGGAAATGGACAGGCTTACATTGAAAATGAAAGGAAAAGATGATACAGAATACTTTTGCTGGAATTGGGTATGTCTAGTTTAATGAAGAGAAGGACGAGGGGGGACATGATAGCAGTCTTCCAATATCTCAGGGGCTGCCATAAAGAAGAGGGAGTCAAGCTATTTTCCAAAGCGCCTGAAGGCAGGACAAGAAGCAATGGATGGAAACTAACCAAAGAGAGAAGCAACCTAGAACTAAGGAGAAACTTCCTGACAGTTAGAACAATTAACCAGTGGAACAACCTGCCTCCAGAAGCAGTAAATGCTCCAACACTGGAAGTTTTTTAAAAAGAAACTGGACATCCATTTGTCCGAAATGGTATAGGGTTACCTGCCTGAGCAGGGGTTTGGACTTGATGACCTCCAAGGTCCCTTCCAACTTTTTTTATTATTATTATTATTATTATTATTATTATTATTATTATTATTATTATTATTATTATTATTATTATTATTATTATTATTATTATTATTATTTTCAAACATGGGATGTATTTTATCAATGGCTAGAAAAACGGACTAGACAGTAGGAATTTAAGATGCATTATTATATTAAATATGTGGACCCAGACAACACATTGTTTACTAAGCACTAAAGATTCGTAACTATAAAAAAAATAATAAAATATTATTATTTTTTTACAAAAGGAAAGTCATATTTTGCCAATCCACTCGTGATGGCCACCTGGAAATAACAGCACGTGGCTTTCCAAGCATGTCCTCCAGAAGTGATGGCTTGAAATGCCTTTTGAACTTTAAATCCCGCAAAGTCATCTAGGGGGTAAAGTTACAACTCAGACATAACAAGGCCTTTGTTTGCTGCTGTTGGTGAACGTTTCACTGCTAACCCAGCCAACTGAAATCCTAGCTAGCTCAGATTAAAAAGATGGACCCTGTCAGTGTTTAGAAGACCACCTCATGACATCCCCAACGGGGATCCTTATCACAAGACTGCACTGAAGGATGATGCATTTTACTGCTGACTTACGTTGGGGCCCAAATAAAAAGCAGTAGCTCCACCAGTGCCAGAAATCATGAATGCAACATGTGTTTTCAAGAACGGTGCCAGGCTTGGGTTTCATTTGTAACAAGCTGCCGTAGTTCTTGCATCTAACATTGATTAATAGCCGCTACTCAAACCCTGGGCCAGAACACTCCAAAAGGATTTCTGCAAACTACAGGAAAGGGGGGTCCGGGGGTGTCATATTAGCAGATACATTTTAATGGAAACTACTGCAAAATGATGTATGCTGTGGCAAAAACAAAGAAATAATCCTAACGCCTTTTAAACTACGGTGGGTGTGAACGGATAGAGTCCTCGCACTATGACTGATAGCTTAGCGACCATTCAAACTTATGACAGGCCCCCATCCAAAGCTTTTAAAAAATGGCCCAAAGCAAACAATCAGTTTGCTTAATGGTTGTGGCGTTCACTTAACAAACCACCATTTAAAAGGACATAACATCCGGTCCGGTTATGTGATGACCTGCTTTATGGCTGTCATAACTTGGGACCATAATTGGCAGGCTAAACTATAGTCCTAATCAAGGACTATCGTGAATGATTAAACAGGAAAAGGTCTTGGACCAAAGAGAAATATTAAGCCACCCTTCCATTGCTTTAAAAGAGCAAATTCAGCTTTAGGAAGAATGAGACAAAGAGATCTGAAACAAAACTGTATCTCTTAGAAAGCTTTTCTAGAAACATAGAATGCCACCAGTGGCTAGAACTGGCATTTAAAAGGGGCCTGATGAGTGTCTCTTATGTTATGTGTTCAGTTATTAGGGGAGCTGGGAACAGTGGTTTCTGCCAGAAGACCAGCCTGCTAGAATTCATAATTTTTTCCATCTTTGCATTATTCTCCAAGAAGAAGCATAAGGCTTTTTAAAAAATAAAATGAATAGAGTAGAGTAGAGTAGAGTAGAGTAGAGTAGAGTAGAGTAGAGTAGAGTAGAGTAGAGTAGAGTAAAATATGAATAGAATAGAATAGAATAGAATAGAATAGAATAGAATAGAATAGAATAGAATAGAATTAGAATTAGAATTAGAATTAGAATGGTGTGGAGTGGAGGAATAAAATAGATTATAGAACAGAACAGAACAGAACAGAACAGAATAGAATAGAATAGAATAGAATAGAATAGAATAGAATAGAATGGGGAATGGGGAATGGGGAATAGGGAATAGAATAGAATAGAATAGAATAGAATAGAATAGAATAGAATAGAATAGAATAGAATAGAATAGAATAGACCTCCATCTTCAAATCAAACTATATACCGTGTTTCTTTTTTAATACTTATAAAGAAAATTAGAGAATTCACTCACATGGCTAACAACTCAAAACGCAAGCTTCTGTCATTCAAAAAAGAAAAAGAAATTTAGCATCCTTCGGTTTGCTTCCAACTAGACTCTTGTAAGTTCATGAACTTGGTTATCTAGCATTAGCCACTTGTGAAAATATTAGCTTCTGGTTGTGTTGCTTCTACAGCAAGGGGATTATTTTCAGAGAACTCTGGCTTATTTTGGATTCTATATCCTTAATACTTTTGGAAAGCCTGCAATGTATTCTAACAGCCCTCTCCTTAGTCTCAAACCCACTTACTCACCCCCTGCAACTATTTAAATGTTAAACAAAGGGAGTGTAAGAAGAAAAATAAATATCTTTGCCCTGGTAGCAAAATCCATTTTCAACCGAGTTGGGAGCAAACTTGCAACCTTCATCATTCCCATGTTTGTACATAAAACAATCACAAGTGGATCCTGTAACCAACAAGTACTAAATTGCAGTCTTGTTGTCAAGGAGGCTGTCTTACCAAATGGAATTACACATATCACTAGATTATGTTATAATAAGTTATATAGCAATAGCAATAGCACTTAAGACTTATATACAACTTCGCAGTGCTTTACAGAACTGTCTAAGCAATTTGCAGAATCAGCATCTTGCCCCCAACAACCTGGGTCCTCCTTTTACCGACCTCAGAAGGATGAAAGGCTGAGTCAACCTGGAGCTCTGCCAGGATCGAACTCCAGGCTGTGGGCAGAGTTAGCCTGCCATACTGCCCTCTAACCACTGTGCCACCATGGATAGATAGATAGATAGATAGATAGATAGATAGATAGATAGATAGATAGATAGATAGATAGATAGATAGATAGGTAGGTAGGTAGGTAGGTAGGTAGACAGACAGACAGACAAATAGGTAGGTAGGTAGGTAGGTAGGAAGGTAGCAATAGCACTTAGACTTATACACCACTTCACATTGCTTTACAGCCCTCTCTAAGCGGTTTGCAGAGTCAGCCTCTTGCCCCCAACAATCTGTGTTCTCATTTTGCAGACCTCGGAAGGATGGAAGATTGAGTCAACCTTGAGCCTGTCAGGATTGAACTCCTGGCAATTGGCAGAGTCAGGCTGCAATCCTGCATTCTAACCACTATGCCACTATGGCACTTCTGTATGGTTTATAGTTCAGCGCATTGTGGGAACCAAGCCATCTTCTTAAGCCAACCTATGATTCTTCTGTATCTCCCAGTATGTTATATGAACACCTGTGCTTGATAATCCTGGCTTAGGGCTAAATATTCCGGATAAACCCAAGCCGTTTTGTACTTTTTTTAATCAAGAAGAATAGGTGAAAATGCTGCAAAACTGCTTTCGGTAGTAACCATAATTTATGCCCAAATACAGCATTAATAATTGCACATAGACAAAAGAAGTCAAATCTTCAAGTACACTTAAACTCCGAAATATCTGAGAGTACTAAAACATGAGTAGGGTTGGTTTTTGTTAAAGAACTCTCTATTCATAGTAAACAAACAAACAAACAAATAAATAAATCCATACCGAGTTGTGCTGGTCCTTTTATAGTAATTCTTGCACTGCGACTTCCATGTGGAACAGCAATCATGGTTTCCTCCCCTAAAAAAATTAAATGCACTCATTTAAAAAAAATATTTTACAAAAGAATTATCACCTTCCATGACTAGACTTTTTTTAAAAAAAGTACACTTACAAAATATGATGCAGCAAATGTTCATTTTATTTTAAAAATACAGATGCTATGAAATACATTGTCCCAAATGATTCCTAAATGAGGCTGCCATTATACTACAGGTGAATATGTAAATCCATCCATTGGATACTTACTTTGTGTACACCCTCACAATATATTAGTCATTACGTTCTCATTGCTTGGGCTACATATTTAATTACTACCCTGAATTAAAACATAGGCAAGTTATACTGTACAGAATTCTTCCCGGTAAAAACCATTAATGACTGTTTACCTAGATTTTGTCCAGAATTTAACTCCTATAGCTAGAAACAAATCAACTACCTAAATTCTAAAAACTTGCAATTTGTGAAAGGTTTAAAAAATAAAATAAAAACCAAACTAGCCCTGAATCTGTTGACTTAAACCTCTTTCCAAATGTTTTCATTTATTTATGCACAGAAACGTTTTAAAGTTGTCTACATCTGGCTTTGCTGTTGTAGTGACAGGGTTAGCCTATATTTCAATGTACCCTTGCAGAAACCACGGGAAGCTCTTAAATTCAGTGGCCATTTATAATGCTGCTTGCAGGGCTGCTATTTAAAAAAAAAACCGTGACAAGAAGTTCAAAAGCCAAAACTGGGCGCCACGTCCTTCATGTCCTTGTTCAAACCAGCCTTAGCGATCGTTTTACCTCCCCCTAAACTTGTCAGTATAATTTAAAATATTTTATTTGATCAGCAACAATATTAATTTTACCTTTAGTCAAAAAAAAGAAAAAGAAAAAGAAAAAAAAGTCTTTCTTTTGGAGAGGAGATCAATCTGAAAATAAATACATACATACATACATACATACATACATACATACATACATACATACATACATACATATATCTCTTCAGGAAAAAAAAAATCCTGGTTTTATCCATGACTCCTTGAGGGCCCTCACAATCTTTCCGAAAGCAATTTTATTTTTTTTGTCGAAATGAAAATTATTAAGCAGATGAACCTTCAGATCAAACCACATTTGTTTTATAATCCTTGATAGGAGCGAACGTATTATCAGTCTTATTGAAACAAAAACAAACAAACAAACAGACATTAGCACAAAGAATTCACTGCTAATAGAGAGCGGTGACGAGATGGCTTTAAAGAACTTGAAGGCAAAAAGGCAGATTCTCAGGAAAAGAACAGCCTGCCCAACCCCTCGAGAGATTTTGCAGCCACTGAACAGCTCTATTTCTGAGGAAAAAAGCCCCAAAGATGATATAATTCACAAGCAAGAAACCGTGTAGTGCAGGGGTGTGCAACCTTGAGAACTTTAAGACTTGTGGACTTCAACTCCCAGAATTCCTCAGCCAGCTATGCTATGCTGGCTGAGGAATTCTGGGAACTGAAGTCCACAAGTCTTAAAGTTCTCAAGGTTGCACGCCCCTGGTCTAGTGTACTGTACCTGGATAAATGACATTGGGCACAATGGGCTCAACAGGCATGTGATTTATCCAGGCCTCAAGTCCTATCCAGCTCTTCATATACTCACAAGACAGCCTTCATCACTGCCTCTGTAGAATATTCAGGATGTTTTTCATGGAGGGGGACATTAATAAGAGCACTGGACTCTCAGCGTGAACCCCAATCTGCCACCAAGTCTGTAGATTTAAAAGGCCTGCCATCCTCAGAATGCAAGCCCTACAGTTACTGAAACAAAAACTCTTATATTCTTACACAGCAGCACACAGGGGGTTGCTAAGCCATACAATTCTATTAAATCAGTAAGAAATATGTTCTTTTTTAAAAATGGGGGAAGGAGGAAAAAGTACCTGCTCAGTTCCTATGGTATTTAAGAGGGGGGGGGAAGCCACAACCATATTTTATCGTTTCCATTTCTATTTCATTTAGTAATAGTCAGCTTTGCTTGTAGTAGATTCTGGGTGCTATGGCCAAAGAGAACATAATCCTCCTCCTCCTCCTCCTCCTCCTCCTCCATGGTACGTTTCTGTTAATGCAGATGACTATAATAATAATACTTCACTGATTAACAGAAACATACTACAGTTAGTCCTCAAGTTACGACCACAATTGAGCACAATTTTTTTTTTGTTAAGATAGTTGTTTCATGAATCAATAGTTAAGTTAGTCATATGATTGTTCAGTGATTCTGGCTTCCCTATTGACTTTGCTTGTCAGAAGTTCACAAAAGGGGATCACATGACCCTGGGACACTGCGACCGTCATAAATACATGCCAAGTGTCCAAATTCTGATCATGTGACCATGGGGATGCTGCAACAGTCATAACTGTGAAAAACAATCATAAGTCATTTTTTCAGTGCTGTTGTCACTAAAGCAAACTGTTGTAAGTTGAGAACTACCTGTATTTAGGATGCAGGAAGTGATATTCCTGCTCCACTTTGCAGTAGTCAGGACGTATTTGGAAAACGATGACCAATATATTTTCAAAGGCACATTAGAAAACTAAAGTAAGTCAATGAGAGGTCAGTGGGTCAGTGGAATAGACTGGAAATCACGTTCTGTATGGAATGGTATAGTTTCCCCATGGAAGAAAATTGGTGACATTCAAGTTCTCTTCAAACATTTGAAAGAATATAGTGCAGAAAATGAAGTGGGAAGACTCCTTCAAGAATAGGGACTGAAAATAATTAGTGGGAACAGCAGAAAAGCGTGTATGATTGGATATTAGGAGACACCTATGTGGGGCAGAACTTCAGGCACTTTAGGACACAACCTGAAGAGAAAGGAGACTGTCTCCCACCAAATCATGTTTGCTTGGAAACTCAGAAGAAATAAACTACAGCTTAGCTCAGGGGTGGGGGACTTTGGCTCTTTTATGACTTGTGGACTTCAACTCCATGCTGGCTCAGGAATTCTGGGAGTTGAAGTCCACAAGTCATAAAAGAGCCAAGGTTCCCCACCCCTGGCTTAGCTGCTCACAGGAACTCTATGCTACAATACATCGCAAAGTTGCATCAGGTAAGACAGGCCTCATGGAAGACATAGAGCTGTCAGGACCACGGACAGCGCAAAGCAGATACAACAAGCCGTATTCCCTTACAAGAACTGTTCAGGAATAGGCCTGTAGGAGAACAAGGCTTTAAGGAAGCGGTCATGGCCTGGTGTTTAAATTGCTCCACCCATAGATGCATGTTGTGGTTCCTAAAACGCCTATCAGTATTTAGCCTAGGAAGGAAGGAAGAGGAAAGACGGGAGGTAGGAGGATCAAGGTTACAAAATTATAATGCAAGTCCTCCCCATGACGAACCCAAAGGCATAACCCTTTTGGAAACAGACGTCTGCTAGGAATTCTGTAGATACAAGATTCTTGCAGTGGTGACTCCCATAACGTCCAAAACAATCTATCTTGGAGTAAAGCTTAGTACTAACAACACTACTAGTACACTCCATTTTTGATGTTAAGTCTGTGGGAATGTATCCATTTCTTTTATCTTAAAGTACGCATTTAAGTACATATGTTCTAGGTTATGAAATGCATATTTTAAGGTAAAAGAAATGGATACATGATTACAGATTTATCATATAGATGAAGGTAAAGTAGATTAGATGAGTCCCATGGAGAGATAGGTGGCAAATATATTTACGAAATATATGTATGCGTATATCTGTATGTGTGTGCGTTTGCTTCTTGAGTGCATACAAAACTGTATATAGATGTGTGTGTGTGTGTGTGTATGCTAAGTGCAAACAAAATGGGTATGCTTCATAAAGCATCAAAATGTGCTGTGCAAAGCAGAAGTATTGGAAAAAAATATGTAATTTCTCATACGGTGGTTTAAAGAAATGCAAATTAATGTTGCATTCTTATGGATTGCACCTATTGGTGAATATGCAAGAAACTGGCCTGAACTGCAAGAACATTCCTTGCCAATCCATGGTCTTAATTAGAAATTAAGTGGAAATCTTCTAGAGTTGCCATTCCTGCATAAATTATTGGGCTGTAGTAACTAAGCCAGTTCTAAGGTTAGCCCTGTTCTGATTTTGACTTGAAGAGACATTTGATCCAATATGCACTCTAATATCAGACTGGTCTCATCCAAACTGAATCAATGTCCTGAATTGGATATGAACCATTATTTAAAAGTTCAGCTGGAACGCTTTGATCCTTCGATATTACTATAACCACTAACAGGAAATGTAGTAATGATACTGTGTAGCTCACCTCTCTATTGTAGGATTTACAACAGAAAGCACTATGGTTTTTCTAACACGCAAGCTTCTAGTTATGCTTCTGGCTTCAACACGTACCTCTTTACAACATGTATCTCTTCACAGAGTTATGCAGAAGGCAAGGAGCAGAAGTGTGTGCCAAGGAATGAAGGAATGAGAGAGAACTGTCTTCGTTTCCTGCTTACAACTCTTCTTAATGCTAGTATTATGGAGAGTGAGGCATTTAATACCACATACTGCCTGCCACAAAAATTAAACATATTCCTTTACTTCCCTGCAAGTCTAAAGGGACTAAAAGCATGTCACAATTCATAAGCACTGATACACTTTATGAAAGTTTGCTGTAGCCTCAAAGAATTAACAGTTGATACATTCCAAATTCGGGGGGAAATGAAGTCATTAAATTCTAAAAGCAGCACCAAGGAGTTCAGGAAATAGAAAAGGACGTACGGGTCATTAGGCAGATAATATCCATTTTAGTCTGGTGCCATATCTTTCAGCAGAAAGGAATACCCCAGACCTTGCTTCATATTTCCATCAAACAATATTGCCAAACATCTCCTCAATTTAGGAGAAGCAGTCAAGGGGGACCCCCAAAAGGTAAAAAAGTATGGGGAAAAAAAGAAAAATCCTGACTGTCTTCACTGAAATAAAATGGTGTTGCTCCCAGGTTTAACTAAATGAGATTGTTGGATAGAAGTGATCTAGAGCACCCTTCTATTATCCATGTATTACGAAGCCCCTCGCACTAGAATAGGCAGAGAAGAACCCAAACCGACCCATGCATTCTAGAGAAGACTTTGCAAAGCTTCTCTCTTCTGTTGCTTCAAGAACAGAAGAAGGTTTCAAACCTCCGAACACGTTTTGACAGTCATTAAAAGGGGGAAAAAACAGAAAGGGCAGCGGGGGGGGGAGGGGAAAGGCAGCAACTATTAGACGGAAATGGTATTGATCTTGATGGGAGTTCCATACATAAAAGAAGAGGTCCTTGGTGGTCTCTGAGCTTGGTTGTTTTCTTGCAAACAATTTCATCGCCCAAACCGTCACTGAGTGGGGCTGGAGTAGAGGAGGGAGGAAGAGGAGGAGGAGGAGGAGGCTGCATTAACAGAGGGATAGAATCAAGATCACGTGAAGTATTAATACCACTTTACAATGCCTTAGTAAGGCCACACTTGGAATACTGCATCCAGTTTTGGTCACCACAATGTAAAAAAGATGCTGAGACTCTAGAAAGAGTACAGAGAAGAGCAACAAAGATGATTAGGGGACTGGAGGCCAAAGCATATAAGGAAAGGCTGCTGGAATTGGGTCTGTCTAGTTTGACGAAGAGAAGGACGAGGGGGGACATGATAGCAGTCTTCCAATATCTCAGGGACTGCCACAAAGAATAGGGAGTCAAGCTATTCTCCAAAGCGCCTGAAGGCAGGACAGGAAGCAACGGATGGAAACTAATCAAGGAGAGAAGCAACCTAGAACTAAGGAGAAACTTCCTGACAGTTAGAACAATTAACCAGTGGAACAACCTGCCTCCAGAAGTGGTGAATGCTCCAACACTGGAAGTTTTTAAGAAGAGACTGGACAGCCAATTGTCTGAAATGGTATAGGATTTCCTGCCTGAGCAGGCCGTTGGACTAGATGACCTCCAAGGTCCCTTCCAACTTTATTATTATTATTAAATAAAGAGGAGGAGGAGGAGGAGGATTGTAGGGTCTTTAATGCTCTCTGACCTTGATTGTTTTCTTGTAAATGTTTCATTACCCAAACTAGGTGACATTATCAGTGCTAGAAAGGGAGTAGGGCTTGCAGAGTGGAAGAGGAGGAGGAGGAGGAGGACATTGACTGTGGGGTCTTCAGTGCTCTCTGAACTTGGTGGTTTTCTTGCAAACGTTTCATTACCCAACTAGTAACATTATCCGTGCATTTCATTACCTAGTTGGGTAATGAAATGTCTGCAAGGAAACCACTAAGCTCAGAGAGCACCAAGGACCTCACATTTCAACCGTGAGCTACACAAAAAAAATCTCCTTTATTGGTAATGCATAAAAGGGCTAAGATATTTCACTTTCCCAGGCGTATGGCAGATTTTACCACTTTTCATCAGTCAAATGTTTGATCATTTCCCAGAAAGTCAGTTTTTTCTTTGACCCAGGCACAGTCTGACCCAGAAGACAGCAGCCTCATGTTCCTAAGTTTATTCTCTTCTGTCCACACCCTTTAACGGCCTCTACTTATACAAAAACTGTATTTTTAATGCGGTGTTTCGTTTTAAAGCTACACACTGCAACAAGTCAGTGACAAAAAAGTGAAATTAGAATATTGACTTAGGCACGCTAATAGGTAATAAATTACAGAATCATATATTTACACCCAAAGGGGGAAAAAACCCCATGATTCAAAACCACACAGCAGTGGAATGATGAGAAAAACATGCAATGGTGACTTTGATCCAAAGAACATCAAACCTAGGGGGAATCTCTTTGTCCAGAAATTCTGGGGAGATCAGGCCCATAATAAAGCCAAGTTTTTCTCCATATTCAGTTTGAAGCCTCCATTAGTGGCAATGATTCAATATCTTTTGAACACCACCTCTCTCTTGGATACAAACAAAAAATTTGAACCCTGTCTTCTTGATGAGTTCTCTCCCCGGCCAGATTCCTGATAATTTCATATTACAGGCAGGATCCCAATTTTCTGAAGCTTTATTTCAGAATGTAGCTGCCCACTTTCTGATCTTCCCTACAATGTAGAACTGGAGATATTATTATTTTTTTTTGCCCTCCAAACAATCCAAGTGCTGAACCACAGAAGTTCAGCCAGGAAAAATATCCAAATTTAGCAGATGAATTTGTCTATTTTGGTACTTAACTCTCCTTCAAAGGCCCCAGTTTTCTATGAATTTTATCTTTCTTTCACAAGGAGTGGGAAAACAGACAAATTGGAATGGAAACAGATTACAACAACTATAATTTCCTGAAAGTGCCTGGTTCATCATTTGCCCGATGTAAGTAAGAACGAAAAACAAATATTTCTTTTTGGCTACGAATCATCACCACCATCAAGTTATTTTGCATTGTTTTATATGTGCCAGCATTGCCTTTTTAAAAATATCCTCCAATTAGATATTTGGTGCCAGCGTTCTCTTTTTAAAAATAACCTCCAATTAAATATTTGAATGATGGTGGTGGTCCAGGGGAAAATAGATCTATTTTATGAATTCGTGGATGAGTCAAGAGACTAGGTCAGGGGTAGGGAACCTTGGCTCTTTTATGACTTGTGGACTTCAATATCCAGAATTCCTGAACCAGCCATGCTGACTCAGGAATTCTGGAAGTTGAAGTCCACAAGTCATAAAAGAGCCAAGGTTCCCTACCCCTGGACTAGGTGATTATTGATTCTCTTTAAGCTTTGGTCCTTTGACTTGGAACTATAAACCATAAAGCCAACAAAATTATCCCAAAAAGATTTTATTCTACCTGTCTATTTACACAGAGAGAAATACATAAATGCATACCAGATAAGAATCATAACAGCTATTTTGTGGGTGTTTTTTGTTTGTTTGTGCCTTCAAGTCAGTCCGGACTCCTAGCGATTCCCTGGACAAATTCTTGAAGGGTTTTTTTTTTTGCAAGGTTCTTCACAACTGGTAAACTATTGCATCCTTCCTGGGACAAAGAGAATGTGACTGGCCCAAGATCACCAACTGGCTTTGCGCCTAAGTCGGGACTAGAATTTCTAAGTCTCCTGGTTTCTAGTTTGATGCCATATTCACCACATCAAACTGCTTCTCATTTTGATGTAGTGCTTAAGAGTGATTAGAAGCAAATCACTTCCAAAAACTTGCCAAGAAACTTTAGGGAGTCGACACTGACTCAAAGGCATCCTCTCCCCACTAATCCCAAAATGGTGTTTACTCAGTTGAATTTCTCTCTTAAAACTCATCTTTCAAATCCTTACATAATTCTCCCAAGAGTCAACATTGCCTAATAGAACAACCTAACGCGAACCCTTCCCAAAACAAACTCCAAATAATTCTGGATTCACTTAAATTGGCACAATCCACAGTAACTGCCCTGTTGGAAATTCCGAGGATACATTACACATATTTGAGTTGCTGGAGACTTACTTTTTTCTGAGGAAAGGTGTGTCTTAGTCTGCCCTCTCACCAGCCGGCAGGTGGAACCGTCACCTGAGCAGATGCCACAGTTATCTTCTTTGGCGTGACTCCCAAGCTGTCGATCACAGCCCACAGCCTGCCAATATCAACAGTGGAGTCAGAAGGACAAAACTGACATAGGCCACTCAGTTGTTCTAGAACAAAAATATCACATTCTCTCTTTCTAAGTTGCCTTCAGTCCCTCAAAAGCATAATTTGGTTTCTTAACATTTCAGTGGGAAAAGTGCTTTAAAGTAATTGTTCCTTAATGAATTTAAGTTTTAGGCCATAACAATTAACCCCTTCTGGTATCCCTGCCGAATAGAATAGAATAGAATAGAATAGAGAGTAGAGAGTAGAGAGTAGAGAGTAGAGAGTAGAGAGTAGAGAGTAGAATAGAATAGAATAGAATAGAATAGAATAGAATAGAATAGAATAGAATAGAATAGAATAGAATGGAGAATAGAATGGAGAATAGGATAGGATAGAACAGAATGGAGAACAGAATAGAGAATAGAATAGAATAGAATAGAATAGAATAGAATAGAATAGAATAGAATGGAGAATAGGACAGGATAGAATAGAATGGAGAATAGAATAGAATAGAATAGAATAGAATAGAATAGAATAGAATAGAATAGAATAGAATAGAATAGAATAGAATAGAATAATAACTTTATTGTCACTTTGAATGTACACTAATTGGCATACATTAAAATGAAATGTCATTGCATACAGCTCTCAAAGGGTCACCACCTCCAATTAACACTACCTAAATATGACAAAAATAAATAAATACAAAATTATGCTTATATGCAATTATGCAAATATTTAAGATGTCCTGTGTTAGTCAGCAAAACACTATTCTGTCTCCCAGCACTTGAAGTCAGAGAAACTCAATCACTGTGAGGTTAAAGAAGTTAGTTTTCATCACGTCCAAAACAAGAAAGCTTAAGCTTTGGGGAATTATTTGTTTCTAGACTTCTCCGCAACTAAGGCAGTGACAGCAATATCACTCTTAATTGGCAATATTGCAGTTTTGAGATCCTTATAAGTATATCTGTGCAGTTCCCAACTAACAAAATTCAATTTAAGCAGCTTATTGTTACATTTCCTTTCATACTCAATTTCTCAACCTCTTTTGGTACTTCAGGTTTCTAAGTCTATCTCAATTAAAAAACCTTGAGCTGCCTTGGGGGGAAAAATATTGCTCAGAATAAGCCCCCTGAGATCAAGTCAATGATTTAAGTCATGATTCAGGTTCTCTCCCATTGATTCGGTGTATCTACCAATCTGTAATCCGATTCTACCTTAATCCAACCCATTGGTTTAATTCAATAAATCTTTTATACATCTAGCCCTCATTCCTTTCTTCTTACAGGCAACACGGAGAAAATTAAATTAGAAGGAAAATGTTATTTGAGGGAAAAGGACCCTTAACCTTAAAGTAATTTCATCCTACTTCTGTATCAGCTTGTCAGTCTACAACTTCGAAAAAAAAGAGAAAGAAGTGCATACTTTTAATAAACATTTCTGCTTTTTCTTCAATGTAAACATTCCCCAGGCAGGATATAGGCATTTATTCATATACTGTTTTAAGCTGCCCCCTTATTTTCATAAACTTTTCCTCAAATATCTACACATTTGTACTGTGATTTGAATAGAAAGCGATATCACAACATTTGTAAACATACTGGAGCATAGCCTGTGTGAATTCTAGTACATTACACTCTCTCTCTCTCCCCCCCCCCCAGTCTAGCCTCCAGTGATGGAGCACCCCCAGGTTAATTGTCTTCACTATTATGAAGTTTCCTCTTAATTCCAGGTTGACCCCCTGTTCTTTGTGGCAGACCCTCAAATATTGGAAGACTGCTATCATGACACCCCTAGTCTTTTCATTAAACTAGACATACCCAATTCCAACAACTGTTCTTCGTATATTTTAGTCTCCAGGCCCTTAAATCATTTTATTTGCTCTTCTATGCACGCTTTCCAAAGTCTCAACATCTTTTTTTATAACGTGGTGACCAAAACTGGATGCAAGATTCCAGGTGTGGATTTACTAAGGCTGTATAAAGCGGTACTAATACTTCACCTTGATTTCAATACCTTGATTTCATGCGGCTGAGCTTAAAGGCTTGAATTCTTCTGAAAGCAACTGCAGTTCAGTAAAATAATTCATGATCACTTTTTAAAGGTTGTTTCTTGAACGTGGGATACATCTAATTTATTAAGAAGGCAAAGTTTCAAGTACATAGAAAACTGAGCAGGAAAACTGTCTGGCAAAGACCTCACTTAAATTCACACTTCATCTCAGCCAACCATAGAGGACCCAAGATTTCAACAATTAAAGCATTTGTTCAGCTTAATGCACCTCATATTGTTGGCTATTTACTGAGCAATGGGATTAACTATAAATATTACAGGCAGATTGGGAAAACATCTGCAACCTTTTAGGGCATATCCAGAAATAATTATAAATAGCTTTTTCCCTTTATTATTATTATTTTTTTTTTAAAAAAATAACCCTCTAGGATTGCCTCAAATGAAATAAGCGACAGTGCATTTAAGCAAAAGGAATTAATGGAAGAATTGGGACTGTGTCAAACTATTAAAACGAACCATCATCGCATAGCTGCAAAAAGTGGCAAAAATGTTGTAATGGTCAGATTGTAGTAAATGCTCCAAACAATAAGGGTTTGGTTATGTGTGTACATGTTTGTGGGTTTGTTTATTTGGAGAGAGACAGGGGGAAAAAAGGAGCATATGTATATCGGAAAAGCTGTGAAGTTTTTACCTATAACAGAAATGTTTAAAAATAGCTGGATGGCAAAAAAAAAAAAAAAAGTACGCATCATATAGGCGTTGCTTATCCAAAAGTTTTGCTTCAAAAAAATTCTGAATGCTTTACTCAAGCCAGAATATTATTTAAAGCCAATGCTTTGGTGAATATTTCATAATCAACACTATATTCAGCTAATGCTTTGGAGAAAAATCTTAAGGGTGGACGAATGCCATCTGAAGTGTTTTTCAATGAGTTGAATCCTGCTTTTGTCTTTATTTTGTTGAGAACTATTGCCACCTTCAACTAACTGATGGGGTGACATGTAGGTGATGAATCAACAAGCCAATGGGGTGGTTTTCCTTACTTCCAAAGGTAGGATCTGAGCAAACAGCTCAAAATGACAGCAATTTCCACTAAAAGTTAGAACACCCATTTAATAATAAAACAAGCCATCTTGGAAATTGACTCTCTCTTTATAGAGGGTTCAAACAGAAAGATTGGCAATTACTTTTCTATTCTTCTTTCTGAACTACAAATCTCAGGGTCCCTCGACCTTGGATGTGTGACTGAGTTCCTTAGACTGAAGTTCAACAACCTTTGGTGTGGGTGTTCCAACACCAGAGATTTTTAAGAACAGATTGGACAACCATTGTCTGAAATGGTATATAGGGTTTCTTGCCTGAGCAGGGGGTTGGACTAGAAGATCTCCAAGGTCCCTTCCAACTCTGTTATTCTGTTGGGTTGTGCATTCTGAACCACTCCACGATACACATTAGAAGCAGATCTGAAGATACCTAAATCTAGTCCTATCACCACGTCCATACCAATAAATTATACTAAAAGCTAAATTTCCTCTAATTCATTCTTTGGGGGAAAGAGTATTTTTTCTTTTTAAAGCAACAGCTTTAAAATACGAGAGAGACTGAAAACTACGGTTACTGAATAACCCACCATAATACAAACAAGAAGAGGTGAAGACTAAATTAGTCTGGATATATTAGAAGCAGTAATAGAACTTCATAAATATTTCCCAAAATGTAAATCCAGAAATCAGCACAAAAAAAATAAGTTTCCACAGCTGTTTCTATAGTTCTCCCTTCTCATTTGGATTCAGCCAACAAATTAGATTTAAATGAAAACCATGAACACAGGATGTTTCATTTCGATATGTGAAGGTTAATGCAGAACTGGCCACATTAAGGAATGTTCATTTCTTAAGCAGATGGTAGGATTTAAATGTCACCAAAAAGAAAGGCTGGAGGGAAAGTGGAGAAGACAAAAAAAAAAAAAAAAGCAAAGTCAAGACAGTAAACATAGCGCTATCTAACACACTGATCATGCCGAGCAAAGTATCTTGAGAAACTATTTTAATCTTGGCTTATCCAAAGAAGTTACATGCTGAGTGTAATGAAAGAAGCTTCCACAGTTCACCTAATTCCGGTCATTCTCACAGAATCCCAGCCAGAGGGATGGGAAAAATAAGTGTAATATTACTACCAGTGGCAGTGACGAGATCAAGTGCTAAGATTGTGCACTTTTCTTTGCGACACACAACCACCCTGTGAAGATTTGCGAGTGATCTGAAGGCAACTGCCACAGAGGAGAGAGAGAGAGGCCTACCTTGTGTACTGGCCTCTGAACTTTACTTATGCCTTTGCTTTTGATAAGCAACTTGATCCCTAAGGGAGCATCAAGGGATCTAGTAAATATTTCCTCCAATTGCCTTAAAAGTTGTAAAACAGAAGACCCTTGAATTACTGTATGTCCAATTGGAGAAGTGCCACCCAGCTTCATACCTTTGCTGAAATTCACCCCCCCACCCGAAGATGGTTGGAATAGCCCCCAAAATAACTTCACAGCCCCCAAATGAGGTCACACATGGTGAAGAGGGAGCTTGAGTTTCGAATATGCAATGCCACCAACGGATCACATTTTCCCTGTTGCATCGCCATCTAAATTGCGCTGCTCCTGCCAAACCAGAAGGAAGCAGACTCGGTCTTGCTCTGTTGACGGACACTGGAGTAGCATGTCTTCATGATGACAATCCATTATGATCTGCCTTAGGTGCTTTGTGACCCAAAATGGGATGCCAGGTGTTTAAAACAAGCAGTTGAGTGACCATATGGTTTTCCCCCCATAACATTTATAAGCCACAGCTTCTTGACATGTGTTCATGATGGGAGCAGGAAGGATTTTAAATGCAACTCTGGGGATTTCTTTTCACACTAACAAGAAGTACAAGAATGAAACAATTGGAAATTTGTGCTCTATCATATAGTTCCCCAGTCATGCGTGCTTCCTCTGCTGGGAATCTATTG